TCTGGGATTATCTAATCCGGCCAAAGGGTCGATACAGAGTTTTATCATCATTTTTTTTTAACAGCGATTAAAGGTTCAGATCGGATGCAGACATTTTTTTTTAACAGCGATTAAAGGTTCAGATCGGATGTAGACATTTTTTTTTAACAGCGATTAAAGGTTCAGATCGGATGCAGAAATTTTTTTTTTAACAGCGATTAAAGGTTCAGATCGGATATAGACATTTTTTTTTAACAGCGATTAAAGGTTCAGATCGGATGCAGACATTTTTTTTTAACAGCGATTAAAGGTTCAGATCGGATGCAGACATTTTTTTTTTAACCGCGATTAAAGGTTCAGATCGGATGCAGACATTTTTTTTCAACAGTGATTAACGGTTTAGATCGAATGCAAAGATTTATCTGGGATTATCTAATTCGGCCAAAGGATCGATACAGAGTTTTATCATCTCGGACACGACTCCACCGAGAAAATGCCCTCTCCCCCGGGTTGGACGTCGAAAATAATTGGCCGAGCGGGGTTTCTCTCCTCGCAAAGCAACAACAACAACAGACCGAGGCTGTCTGCAGCTATTTCGGTGTGAATGGAGCCGCAGGCGAGCGGAGCTCGGAGCGTAACGAAGAGGACCACTCGGTCCCTCGGTTCGTCAGACAAGGTCCGCTAATTGGGATTAATTCGCGCTAATTAATTAAATCACGGAATGCCTAGCTGCCATAGACAAGTCGACGGGCGTATCCCCCCTGACACGCGTCCACCGGGCGTCGAATTGAATAATAAAAGGGCTAAAAAATATGAAAAACAATCGTACAAAAAAAAAATTCCAAATAAATTGACATACACCTTGCGATGCATTTTTCAATTTTGGCACTCATCCATCGATTCGTATAATTACCTCGTAATTGCGAGACGCGGGAAATTCAAATGGATGATAAAAAGAGGGAAGGAAAAATATCGCAAATATAAAATATAAATAATAATCTTAAATCAATCCCTCCTAATGAATATGAGCATCCCCGTAACGAGGGTACTCGTCGAATAATCCATCTTTCAAGTAACGAGTCCGGGCTTGATCATGGCCGAGTAATTTCGGGAAATTCGCGAGGGGCCTCGTCGAGTACGCCCTCCGTACGCACTCTGTACGCACTCTGTACGCACTTCGTATGCACTTCGTATGCACCGGGCTCACCTGTGCGCTCGCCTCTCGAGATCGAAGGTAAACCGCGTAAACCGGATTAATCTGACATTCCGACCTCCCTGTAATCCCGAATAAATTACACCCCCGTCGGGTTATGCCCCTCTCGGTGCTCTATTAAATGCCGAACCTGCAGCGGGGGCGTTATTAAGTGTCGAATCAATGCAAGCTCCATTAAATGTCGAACTGCAACGAGGTTTGTTAAAGGTCCGCCCGAATTACGGCCCGCCGACAAATTCCAACAAGCCCTGTTAAATATCAATTCATAATCGATTCTCACTCCCCCCCTTAAAAACCAAGCAAGAACGATAGAAAAAGAGAGAAGGGGTGGCGAAAGAAAAATCCCTTTTCCAGGATGCAGAAAAAAAAAACAGTGCGATGGAGACGCGACGGGAAAAAAGTCTTATCAACTTGATCAGATTAAATTGATAAGGGGGGAAAAAAAATAATAATAATAATAAAAGGAGAGAATTGGTCGCAAAATAAAAATCGGGTTCCCAGGATGCAGAAATGGGGACGAGACGCGAAAAAGTGGTGTCAACGCGATCGGGAAAAATTTAAAGGGGGGGAATGAAAATATAAGATGATAAAAGAATAAATAAATCGCACTTCCGGGATCCCGAAAACGCGGAATGGCGAGTCGGTAAAGGCCGACTTATAACGACACGAGGACCACCAAGAAGAGTGCAGGGTGCAGTTCGGCCGATCTAAATTTAAGCCCCGGATTTATACCGCCCTCGCGGCGGCCATTGACTCGCCTCTCTCGCTCTGTCTCTCTCCCTCTCCCGGCGGAGGCGTCGTTGCTTCTCTCTCTCGCGCGCTGCCAATCGTCGCTCGGACGCCTTTTCGGCCCCCAGCGTTTCCCGTCCCTCGTAAATCTCTCGTTTTTTTTTCTTTTCTATTTTTTCTTCCTCTCTTCTTTCACCTCCCCGTCATTTTCCGGGATTTCAAGGGGCCCAAGAAAGGCCCTTCCATTCAAGGGGCGAATAATAAGGTCCCACGGATCTTGAATAATTTCGGATTGAATTATGGAACTAGCCTCTTTGTCGGATCGAATCCCGTGAAAAATCGTGAGGAATCGCTAAGCGGAAGGGTTAGAGAGGAAGGAGAAGAAAAGGTAAGAGTTTCCGTGACCCAGGGGTGGGACCGCCGATTAAATTCGACTTACACCCCGGCCATCCACGTGTCCCCTCGATTTTTCATCCGGACGCGGAAGACGTGACCCCCCGACATAATTTCACTTTGAACGAGTTCCCCTCGGAGTTTACCTCCCACTAAAAAAAAAAAATAAAAGCAAAGAAACGGACGAATCTGGATTTCCGAGGACCTCCTTTCCGCCCCCCCGATCCTCGAAGCTCCTCCTTTATTTTGATAAATAAAATGATAACGCGCGTACCAATTTCCTGGTAACCCCACACTCCGTTCAAATGTACATTTTTTCATTTTTTTTTTTTTTTTTTTTTTTTTTTTTCTTAAGGGAATTGCGAGGAATGACACAGGGAGTTATTTAAAGGCACCTGACATTACGTCCAGGACTTTGTAGCGACATTACGGCTCCATAAATAATTGATGGCCGATAGACGGATGTCGTATCGATTGTAATGCCTCTCGACGAGGCTTCCCACCATGGACAGAACCGATAAAGAAAAATGAGGAGGAAGGAAGAAGAAAAAGACAAGTGCGTTACGGCCAAATCGGCCCTTCGGCGTGCAAATACGACCTACCGGCTAACAATAAATGCGGTGCCCCCCCCCCCTTCCTCCAAGTTATAGCGACTGTAAATGTCCACTTGCCATAAATTATAACCTCGTAAATAGTCTCTTCCCCTTCGAGCTCGAGAGTCGACTCCTAGCGCGGAAATCGCGTATACAAACGGTTCTTCCCCCTTTGATCGGAACCAGCGGGAAATTTATTTCCAATGTTCGCCTGAAACTGCTTTTTTTTTTTTTTTTCTAAATCGCTCTTCCCCGCTGATAAGCGCTTCCTCATCGATAGGGACCCCTTCCCAATCTTTATTTTCCACGAAAAAAAAAAAGAAAAAAAAAATACGAAAAAATCATTACTCCGGAATTAAGGAATTATTCATAATTTCGCGCCGAACACATACACTCTCGCGGGACATTTTCTTCTCGGAGAGAAAATCAAAAGATATATATATATTCCGAGTGAAATAAAAATTCGATTCGACTGGATTTCCCCGGGGGGTCTCTCTTTTTTTTTTTTTTTCTCCTCTCGGCAAGATTTAAGATGCCGATACTTCCCGCCAAGACGAAGGTGCCCGAAGGGCCCCCTCAACAGTTTCCCGGGTATCTCGGGATGTGGAAAATATCGCTGCAGGTGCAGCTGGTCCCCCCCTGGGGAACATCCCCCCAGAAGCCACACCTGGTATCAGGGGAAAAAAAAGAAGAGGAAAAAGTGCGTCGATATTCCTGAATACCACTATTTTTCAGGGGGGACCCCAAGATCGTCCCATAAAATTCACGCCCTTTTATCCAAGGACCTCCAGGCATGACTTCCGTATTATTTACGAAGTCCTGTAAAACGGGGGGAGGAAAAAAAAAATAAAAGGAAAATAGTTACGAACACTAGGGACGTTTATGCCCGGCCGATTTTCCGTACGGGAAATTTACACGTAATTTCCATTACCCCGTACCGAGAGATGCGCACTATCGCCACCTATTATCCACCATCGATCACCACCGTGGAGTACAGCGTCCGATATTTACGGGGCCTCGTAAAGCCGAACTCGGAAAATACATACCATGTACCATGTACATACACCCAGGTGCATGTACATTTCAAAGCGGAGGAAGATAAAAAGCGAGGGGGGGAGTATCTTCCAAAATATTCCCTCCCCATGGGTATAACTATATATTCTATAACATATCGTTTATATATTCTGAGACATTTCATGATAACCTTTGAATGTCGAAAAAATCCCTTAATGTTAAATTTAATAAAATTTATAAAAAATATATATATGTATGAAAAATATGAAATAACATTACTCTTCATTTCGAGGGGGTCCTTCGCGGTCCAATTATTTGGCACCGTGTTTCTTTCCTATTCTCTCCCCGTTTATAATTTTTTTTTCCCCCTCACCTTTTTCCTTCCAGAATTCCAGTCGGCGGACTTTCGAGGTAAATTAAATCCTCGACGGAAAAGAAGGTCCTCGGGGAGGGAAAAAAAAAAAAGAAAGAGGGAAAATTCGTCGCGAAAGGTCCGCCCTCGATCTCGACCTTACGGCGAATGCGGCCTTCGCCACTTGTTGAATGTTTATAGAGAGGAGGAACTTAGGCTCGAAAGAGGATCCCTCGCCCTCCCTCTTCCCCCCTCGGTCGATAGTGGCAATTATCGAGAAAACAATTTCGACTCCTCGATACATGTATATCTTCACTTTAAAATGTAGGGGAAAACGTACGCGAGGATTTAAGGCCTCTTAAAAAAAAAATAATAAAAGACTTTTTAAAGAAAATCTCATCGAGGCTATTTATCGAGAAAGCAATGTTTACCTCTCGACGTTGCGCATTTATTTACTTCCGAACAAAGTAAAAGTAAATACGAGGAGATCCGACCCCGTGGAAAATCGACAGTGTACATAACTGCCGCCCGTAATTATCAGAGTGGTCCGCCATTTTTCTTTGTTTCTATTTAACCAACGGAAGTTACTTGTAGTTTAAATATTTACAAGGCGAGATATGGAGAAAACAAAACATTGATTCCTTTTAGATTATTGCTATGGACCACTTTCGAATAATTACAAGCAATAGTTGTACATTTTAGACTAGTTCTCTCGGAGTATACATACCTTTTACTGTGACGATGAGAGTTAAAAGCCCTAACCAGCGGAACAAGACAGCAAAATCGGGCGCCATTTTGAATTCGCCGATTCCTCCAAAAGAAGATCCAATGACGCAACGAATTGTTAATTAACACTACACTCGTCAAAGTCCCTGGCCCCCGTCATAGTCACAGCTCGAAGAAAATAGTCACCGCGTCATTTTATACAATGATTTTGCTTGAACGATCCCTCAATAAAATCGATCTCAAAGTGCCGGGCGACTTTCGAATCGGCGCGGGGCCCAAGATGGCGGCGGTGAGTCCCGTCACTTTCACCTCGATACCGGTAATTCTTCTCAGCCAGTAATTAAGCACCGATTAATGCAAATCTGTACAAATTGACACCTAAGTGTCACTCACCGATATCGGGTCAACCAATCCACGCAAAATACTCAGTGTTTAATTATCTCCCGCTGAGAATTATCACCCTGGTGAACTTTTTCACTCCACGGATCACGTGACCGGCGCGAACCAAAATGGCGGCGCGCGAGTTCGAACGAGTTCGCACCGGGCGGGAAGAACTCCTAATTAACGGCCAGGAATTGTCGAACCCTGTAAATGTGATGTCCCGAGTTTTTCCATCGTAGATTCTGAAACTATCGGGATCTTCTGTTCTTCGATTTAGAGGAATCTGCTCCTCTAGTCACCTGATCTTGGACCCGAGCATGCTTCTCGCACGACTGCGTAAACATTCACGTGAGACGATGTCGACTTTTCGAACTTTCACCAGGGTCTGTTTTCACAGCAACCCCCGAAGAGGATTTAATAATCGTGACTATGTCTCATTGTCCGAACTTCGAGGGCGGCACGGATTTTGGGGTTATACTTTGGTTTTAGACTTTCATTATGCTTACGAAAATACGAGTGAAGAAGAATAGGGAAGAGAAGGAGGTGGGGTGGGATGTCTTTTGTAGGAAGTCACGGTTTCGCGTCACAGGGGACGAAATGCCCGAACTCGGAGCGACTCGACCAACGATGTGTACTGCTCGAACCACCGCGCGCAACTGACGGTCTATGCCACCTTCGCCGCGCGGCGGGACGCGCGTCGCTGACTTCCCCCACTCTCGCTTTACTATATATGGCATTGCTTTTGCGCCGTCCGCCTCCTTATCTCTACCTCTGTACATGATTTCATAAAACATTAATTCGCTTAATATTGCATAAGTATTACTCATTTATTGAAAATTATGCCTTTTACACTCAATAACACATACAGTGATTAGTACGATTTTTTTATAATCGTTATGCCGAAAAACGTGATATTTAATGCAATGCCCTTCTTGATAATTATCACATTTCCAATATGAATGAAATATTGAGATGAAAATTCCACGGCTTGAATTTCTGGAATTTCTTATCAATGAAAACTACGTGAAAAAGGGAAATGTTTAAAGATTCCAAAATAGCATGGTGATAAATTTTTGTTTAGTTTCACAACAGTGATAACTAATAAAATATTTAACGCGCTTCACCGCGTCATTCTTTTCCTCTATTTGAAAATAATTCTTATAAAAATAATTATCCGGAATTCCGCGTAATGGTAAATAATATAACGCTCGTCTTGGTATAAACATTTCCCGGGAAAACAAAGCAGGGCATTAGGAGAGACTTAAGTCGGCAAGTTTATATCAATTTTCTTGTGACCGGTCTGAAGGTCTACAGCTTAAATGAGAGCTTAAAGAGGCTTCACGAGAACTTATACGACAGGAGCTTCCAGGTGGAGAGAAAAAGCTCGTTGCACATTAAAATGCATAAGACAGAAGGGATTAAACGTAATGCCACCACGACAGTAATGGACGATTCTTGAAAAGAAATCCAGGATTACGCCGTCATTCCATAAAGAAAAAAAAAAGAAAAGCAATTTAAGGACCTCTTTACCCAACAGCGAATTTAGGACGATTTTATATCCCCGCGAGATTTTCGATTTATACCGATTAAATCTACGAGACGTTTTGATTGAAATCCGTGCCTGGGAATTATTAGAAAAAATTCGGAGAATATATTTATTCATTTTTCTGGGAGGTCTGTGTGTGACTCAGCCATGTGTAAAGGACCTATTGTATGAAATACATTTAACAGTTTCGAAATTGCCTCAATCCTCGGATATACGGCCATTTTGAAGGCGAATAGACCACGTTAATTGAATTTCAAGTCGGTCTCTGTTTACTGTTAATACCATGTACTCTCAGGAGTAAACTCAAAATCCAGTTAATAGTTTCCGTGTTCTTGATTTGTCCAAGAGATGGTCAAGAGGTCTCGTTGCTTAACTTCCTCGAAATCATGTTAATTAATTTTACGCAACCCTGATAAAACTAATAATCACTGTTACCTAGAAAAAAAAATAATAATCCGAAATATTTGATCAAATCTTTACAGAGATATTTCCCTAATGATCTTCTAAGAGATATTGTTTAATTTACTCTGTATTTTTCCTTCCTACATAAAAATAAAATAGGCAATGGTTATTTCGGGACAAGTCATATGAATAGATGTTTTTGTTTTTGGAAAATCGTTTTATTGAATTACGACTACAAAAATGGGGATAAGGAGGGCAGTAGAAAATTTGCGAGTGCGTTGTTTATTTCGTCGCAAAATGCACCAGTGTCTTGGCTTTTTAACGGGATGTCGAAAAGACTAGGACACTGCAAGAGGAGCATTTTCCACTAAAGCTCGATTTGCTTAAAATCGTTAAATTAATCCCATCGACGAATTCCCTCGAAGCTTTCTTCTTCTTTGAAGTTCGATGTCTAATCTTTGCCGCTGCTGGTGCAAATCCTTGAAGAATAAATTTTTTAAGAATTAACGTCAACCAACTGACATAATAAGTATCTCAGAGTCTGTACGCCGTTTTTAAAAGCATTTGAAAAGAAAGAATTCATTTGCATCTTTACCTCGACTTTGGTGGACTCTCCGAGTTTGTCGAAATCTCATCGGAACTGTAATAGCCCTTCTGAAAAGCGAATCGAATGATTAATATTAATTCTTCAAAGGCATGTACGATTCGCGCAAGACGTGCCGCCATCTTGGTGCGCCTTCCAAGGATTACCACTCAGAACTCAATAATAAATAATACCCATTAATTCCCTTTAACTTAAAAGCTTCACATTGAAGCGTCAAGTTTTTATCTCCTATTTTCTTTCATTATCTTTTACTCTTTTCAGGTGCGCCTGTAAAGCTTGAACCTTTCATACATTGAAAACAGACGCGGAAGAAGTGCCGCCATCTTGCGGCGCGTTTTAAGGATTACCATTCGCAGATGTCAGCACCGTATTCATAAAATGGCAGATAAAGTGATAGAAGAATTTCCTATCATTTATTCTTATTAATTTAATATTAAATCTATTATTAAACTATAACTCACCCTGGAGGAGCAATCCCTTGGTGAGACCGAAGGCGACACCGAGACAGACTTGGAGTACAACTTTTTCCTGGTGGAAAAATTATTAATAATTTATATTTCTTCGCTATGTAGGTACAGCACATGTTTTCAGTTTTTTAAAGGTCCAAGGGTTCACTTACGAGCATATTTTACTGCTGTTCGAGACTTCTATGGTGTCCTTACTGCTGTAGCTCATGGCAGCCAAGCAACGCTCCTCGTCTTCGTTTCTTTCACATCCATCGGGACAGGAAGTGAATTTATTCCTCCAACATTCCTTAAATCTCTGAAGAGGACCACTTGGTGAATTTTTCGAAGGACACGTGTCGGGCTGGCAGTAATCCGTGTTTTCATACAAAACTGCCACGCTGCGTATTAAAGGAAATTAATTTATCTACGCTTTAAGAAAGATGATCGTACCGAGAAAAAAAGGTTAATTGCTTACGGAGTATTATTTGGCGATTCACATGGAGAACATTCGTCTGAATTTTTTGCAAGAAACCTGTAGCAGACCAAAGTCAAGCCGACCAACAACCATACCAGAATTGCACTTCCTACAGCGATGACTATTAATTCCGTAGTTCCAAAAGTCACTTCGTTTTCATCGTTCTCTGCAATCAGTGCATGAAATGATACAATATTTTGACACGATATAACACATAAGAAAAAAAAGAATCTTTATTGCACCAAAGAAATATTTCTTTAGTTCAATGAATTTTCTTTCTCAGCATGAGAATTTATTCGCACCTCCTTCTCTCCCCCTGTAAAGTGGAGAAATTCCTTCTTCTTGCTGCTTTGTAGTCTCCGTAACTACTTTTGGCATCATTTGGTATTCTCCTCCTCGACTTCCTTGAGCAATGCCCTCTCCGACTCCTGAGACAATGAATTAATTGAATTTTCATAACTGATTTAGGTAAGAAAATTCCCCTGGAAATAATTTCAATTCACTCTTACCACTGTCCTTCAACGACGTCATCACTCTCAGGACTCCACCAAAAGCAGGATACCACTTTTCGTCATCCAAATGGCTGTAGACCTGCGCTCCAAGAAAGTAATTAATATTACTAGATGCACCTGATTAAACTATTTCTAGATATCATTAACGAAGTCGGCTTAACTTGTCTAGAAAATTCTGATCAGCAAAACTCTACTTGGGATGAGAAAATAAGACAAGGAAAAATTCTGAATCTTTGGACTTGAACTTTTAATGACTGCGGAAAGGTAAAAAAAATATTTTTCTTTATCGGTAACTTAATATACCAAATTAATGTCTTTCTTACAGATTGTTGCAGCCACTCGAAGAGCTCTCTGTTGAACTTCATGATCTCCGTCCTCGTTTTCGAGCGTGACAAAATGCACTTCACACTAGCCACGTAATACTTCACCAAGGCAAAGGCCGACTTTTCGCAATAAAGCGACTGCAAATTGTCAGTCTTAAACGGCAGCGCAATGCTAGATAAACATAAAAAAACCCCCTTTAGTACAGACTATCAGTGCATTTTTATTAATTGCAGAAATCACTCCGACTCACCTGTTAGGCTCTGTATCGTCATCCAGGAAAGGTAGAGGAACAATAATCGGCCCTGCTTGCGAAACGGAATGTCCCCCAACAGTTCCTGAAAGAAGCCAAGAATAACAATCTTCATAATCTTAAACAATAATTATTAAGAAAATATACTTACTAGGAAAATGTTTGGACCGCCGCCTCCGAGAATGTGCGAATCGTTTCCCCTTGAAGGCGAAATGCCGATTATCTCTAGCATCGGCTCCAGGAAGGGCTGGACGGGATTGTTAAGAAAAAGTCTTAAACAATCATACAACCAGCCGTTACAACTTCCTCGTTAACAATGCGCAATTACAAGTTTCACATCGGAAGAGAAACGACGAGGGGAAAATTTCAATTCTACCACCTCGCAAGCTCTTCGACGCTTATTTATTATTAAACTGGACGCAAAGGGCGATGTAAAAAAAAATTCTAAACAATGCATTGACTTACGTGCAGGGTATGTAATGAGACCATTGCATGCTACGGACGTTTTAGGCGGTGTAATAATTATCGGAGGCGTTTTCACGCGTTTCGTCTCTAAGGCTGGTTTCCTCCATCCGACTCCATTCGTGTGGAGGAAATTCTTCAACTCGTCGAAGAGCTCGAAGAGCCTCTTCGCGTTCCGATACTTAATGTTCCCGGCGTAATACGAATGCCTTGTTAAAGGTAATATGTAGACTTGTAGATATCCACCCATTGTATCCGCCAGAGCTTTCAACATTAGATGTTTGGTCTTGCCGATTGACAATTTCCGGACGCACTCCAAGCAAATGTGGAAGTAGTCCATCAACAGTGCAATGTACTGATCGTTTTGAATGTTGATGACTCTCACCTGAAATTAAAAGAACAATTGTATGTAATCTAGGTGTACTGTAAATATTTACGGAATTTATTTCTCATTTTTCATGCGGAAACAGCCCATCGACAATTCCATGTACTCATCCTTCTGCCTCTCGATGACTCTCCTCCGAGAAGAGGAATTTTTTTACACGCACTACGTACCTCCTAGATATTACAAAGGTTTACAAAATGTATTCGCAATATGTTGACGATCCTTCAGAAATTTTTATCACCTTGGGTAAGATGTCCTGGAACATCCTGCGACTGTTGAGAATGGTGAATTCCTCACTGGTCCAGCAATGCTTTCCACACTCGCTCCTCTCGAAAAGCACGGTGCCGATATTCTGCTCGTTTCTAAAAGCTCTGTTGCCGGAAACGCTACGAAGAAATTATTAAGAGAAATATAAAAATTATTGTCAGTATGAATAATTTTTTTGCCAATATTTTACTACGACAAAAGGTACCTGTACTTATCATCGGAGACACTTGCCAGGAATACCAAGAGGAAGTACAAAGGACATGAGAACATACTCCGGGAAGGAAAGCACGTGGTCTTGGAGTCCTCGGTTTTTCAAAATGATTTCTCCTTCTTTTTTTGACAAATCGCTCTCAACTCGCGACCGACATCGTCGACACCGATAGACGATTCTCAATTTCTCGAATTTCTATTCCACGTCGTATCTCGGCTACTTTCACGTGGAGGAAAAAAGTCGATTCAGGGCCCGAATTCGATATCCCGAAGATAATAAAAAAATCGACGAAGACAGGCTTCTTTTTAATTCAAATATAGAGAGCGTTGCGATTTTTTTTTTATAATCTTAACGTCGACGATGATGTCAAATTTTCATTCCTTTAACTGGATTTTTTTTAATGCAAAAATTCAGAGCGTTGCGATTTTTTTTGTAATGCAAAAATTGAGAGCGTTGGGATTTTTTTTGTAATGCAAAAATTGAGAGCGTTGGGATTTTTTTTGTAATGCAAAAATTTAGAGCGTTCCGATTTTTTTTAATTCAAAAGTTGAGAGCCTTGCGAATTTTTTTATAAGGAAACTGTTATTACACTTTTATTAGGGAACATCTTAAGCATTCCGATTTTGCATACGATGACGATCCTTGACATCGACGATGATCTCAAGAGTCGTTCTCGCGCTCTGAATATGGGAAGGCCGAGGTCGTCCGCCCACCTGAAAAGACGCCCACCTTGTCTCTTGACCGAAAATCGTTTCCACGGATCAGACCCTGCACTACCATCTATGCTTATGTCAATTGACAGTATAACGGTGAAGAAGAAGAAGAAGAAAAAAAAACAAGATTAATAATCGGGGAGTAAGAAATTGCAAAGTGAAAATTGCTTCTTGCCTCCTACTCGGTACTTGCTCTTTGTTACGCGGCGTAATAACGGGTTACTCCGTGCTCCGACTTTTAACCATGTCATGAGATAAAAAGAGACATTGTAAAGATCCAGTAACCGCAGACGGTTAATCGCTGCGAGCTTTAATTAATTAATTTTACATTTAATTGTTTTTTCCTCCAGGAGTAATTCATGTCCACGGGAGCGGATGTACAGTACACTCGGTAGGAACATCCAGTACCGATCTTTTGGTGCAACCTGTATAAGGTAACGGCACATTTCTCCTACCTCTTCGGTTTAACTCCAGGCTGACTTCAAAGCCGACTCAGTCGACCAGCAGACTCAGTCTCAACAAGTTTCAAGATCCCAGTCTTGCAAACGTACTCACACCCACGACATGAGTAAGTTCGTCCAGTGATTCATACCTTCCTTATCCGAGGACCTGCCAAAGAAAGGAGAAAAAGTCCTCCTTTGATCTCCAGTCGGGAAATTAATCCCGAAATTAATCCCGAAAACCGTATCTCTTCCTCCGATACGAGGCCTCTGAAAAATCCTCAAGTAACCAAAACTACGGTCAGAAATATAAATTATTTTTAACCCGGTTCAATTTTGGAAAATCCTCCTGGAATAATTATCGTCGCGAAATTAATCCCGAAAACTGTATCTCTTCCTCCGATACGAATTCCCTGAAAAATCCTCAAGTAACCAAAACTACGGTCAGAAATATAAATTATTTTTAACCCGGTTCAATTTTGGAAAATCCTCCTGGAAAAGTTATCGTCGCAAAATTAATCCCGAAAACCGTATCTCTTCCTCCGATACGAAGCCCTTGAAAAATCCTCAAGTAACCAAAACTACGGTCGGAGATAAAAATGATTTTTAACCCACTTAAATTTTGGAAAATCCTCCTGGAAGACTGATCAAGCTCAAAATAGAGTTTTAGAAAGTGGAGGGAGAATTAATCGAGGCCAGGAGAGTGCTTAAAGATTTTTTGGAGGATTTTTAAACTTTTTTCGTACGGTAGGTCAGCCAGAGTCAGTGGGCGTGAGTGGGAGAGAATCCTTTCTTTTTCCTTTCCATCTTAAAAAGGAATTTCGATTTCAGCAGGCAATTATTTAGGGCTTCGGAACCTGGGAGTAATCTTTTTATGTCAGCCTAGCGGAGATGAAATAATTCCTCGAGGCATGTCTCGTAATTGACAATTGCGAGTGACATTACGCACTTTCGCCGCGTTACGTCTCTCCATTATGTCGTTTGCATATGTATGCGACCTTTTCACTTTCCAATGACCGCAGTGCAAGTTGCGTTATCAAACTGCTCGACAAGTCTAGAGTACAGAGTAGCATTACGGTAATTAAATCGTACCTAGATAGGGAATTTATTTCAAGCGCCACTGATAATTACCCGCAAGAAACAATTGTCCTCGAACTTAGTGAACAAATATGTTACGACTGCGATCCAGTTTTCATTAGAAAAAAAAAAAAAAAGGAAAAAGAGAGGTTTTGCCTTGAGACAAGTTGCGCAAGACCATTGAACACTCGAACGTAATAACGCCCAAGGAAAGGGACTTTCTTGCAGAAACTCGGAATAAATGTCTCCTTCCTTCGTTTCCTTCCACGCAATTTCTCCCCAGAAGTTGAAAAATTCCGACTGGATTGAATAAACAATTAACGTGGAATATTTTATTCCTCGACTCTCCCGAGGAGTAATTATTATATTCATTATTTTCTCTTCTTCATTTCAGGTAAGTGCAATCTTGGCCTCCTCGTCGCACTCGCGGTGAGTTATCTGTACTGTATACATCTTCATTATTAATATTATTTATGCCCAACTCATGTATACATATTTTTTTCTTTTTTTTAGAACGTGTCATTAAAATTTCCAAATTTTGCGGATAACAGACCCATGGGAAATAAAATCACCCTGGTACTAAATGGATAAACAAATAGCCAAAATATGTCATCGTTATCTTGTACGATCTCGAAAAAAGAGTGATAACAAATTCGGTAGAGTTTTGCTGCAAATACGATATAACGAGAATTTCGGCGCATCATTTTGATAAATTTTCATTTCTCGGTTAAGAGCACTTATCGTGGATAATAATTAATATTCATGACCCAAGAGTGATTACGCGTAGTGCAATTAATCTATGGACATTCTTAAAGGAATCCTTTTCATTTCATTTTTGACAAAAGACGTATCTCGAGTTCATCGAAGCCTCCGAGGGAAATGGCGATCCGACGAAAAATCACTTTTGCCTCTGAAATGCCTTAATTAATACCTCTTAATTAAAGTGTCACTTGCAATGCGTCGCTCTCAGAGGAACTTCCTGGCAGCTCGATAATCCCAGCTTCCGGTTAAACGTTGCAAACCGGAAACCAAGTTTAATGGGCAGAAGACTCTCAGGATGCTCCGCATACGAATTCCCAAAATTCACGAGAATCCCTCGAAATTATTAACAAATAAATTCATTAGTAAGCCACACTACACGTTATGAATGTCCAAATGATCTTATCATTCCATAAAATATGTATATACATCGTGTTATCATAAAAAAAAATAAAATAAAAATCCTCGCAGAAAATTGGCAAACTATTCTGAATTTACTTTTTATCTGAAAATATAGTATAAAAAAGATGGGCGTCAAGAAATTGTTAAAAAAAAAATTGCAATATTTTTTATCTATGAATCTAGATGTTGATTAGGTTGGGGTCAGGCCTTATCAGTATATCTTTTTTCCTTCTTTTTACAGGTGCTCTTGGCTGTCGCCACAGCCGGGGACATGATGAGGAAGAGCATAGTCTTCGATAAGAACACACCGGATGTTTTTTACTGTCCCCAACATAAACCAACGGGTTTTGATAAAATGATAGTACGTGCCAAGCCGTTATCAAAGCTTTGCCAATTTGAGGGAAAGCCAATTCCGGAAGACTACAAGAGCGACTGCTACAACGACGTGGACGAGACCGAGTACGCCTGTAAAGAGAAGTACAGGATCATGGTGAGACATGAAAATCAATTCGATTACGATAAATAAATATAAAAATACCTCTTCAAAAATTATCCGGCCAGGGATAGACTTGGAAAGGCCCCAAAATGAATTTTTCGCGACATACTGATTAATGAAAAATCCATTCCACATTGTTGACCACTTCTTCTCAGGTTTATTTAAACGTTCTCTCTAAAAAGACAAAATTCCCCGCGTGTAAAATTTCTTCATAAATATTGGGGCTCCAATAAATGTCATGAAAATTTCCAAACGACAATTGTGCTCCAATTTTCCTCGGGGTATGTCTCTGCGAATGTCATTTTCTCCGGTCTATTGACATTTCAAGCGAGGCGTGTCGCGCGACATTTTGCATACGAAATGTCGCGAGTTGTAAAATCGGCATAAAATATGTAGTTGAAAAAAAAAACTGGACCTAAGGGTGGAATTATAATTGGCCACTCTTTGTCGGAATTTTATTAGATTAATAGTGAAAAAATGGGCGACCTTTTCGACGAAATGAGGACCCGGTTAAGAATAATCTACGGGTCTCTCACCTTTTCTTACCTTTTGACTCCTCGTGACGAGGAAAAGGTTGCTCGGGATATTGCGAAAGAAGGTCAACAGTCAAGAGTCAATTGCGCTATCCATTAACTAGGGAGGAAACCAGACGGAAAAAAATCATTAATTCGTTTTCACGGCGGTAGAGAAGTGCGAAAGAAAATGGGAGTTTATACGTTTTCGACGATCCATGACGGATGGAACATGCAACGAGAGTTTTGTACGATTTTAGAGATCATTCCTAGAGATCACGCACTGCACGGCACGAGATATACCATTTCACTTTCACCTGAAATACGCATAAATGTTGGGCCTTAACGCCTGGTTGCTTCTCAGCTCGCAGAATATCACGAGATGGCTTGAAAGATTATCGTAAACCGTTCCGCCTTCCTCATTCCCAATATAGTTTATCTCGAAATCGAAAGTAGAATCTTCAATTATACCGAGCCACATAAAAAACCAGTTAATTTTACGTATTTAATCAATTTTCTACGACTCCTTAAGGAATTATCCCGAAATTCAATATGGCCGACTTTGCCTTCATCTTCGGCCTTTCGATTTTTCCCGAAAAAAATTGCGACTTCCGCCATTTTTCTCATTTCCAATGTCGTTTATCTCAAAATCAAAAGTAGAATCTTAAATTCTACCTAGGCACTAAAAAGAACCAGTTAATTTTACGTGTTTAATTATTTTTCTACGACTTCTTAAGGGATTATCCCGAAATTCAATATGGCCGACTTCGCCTTCATCTTCGGCTTTTCGATTTTTCCCGAAAAAATTGCGAAATTAATAAAAATTATTACCTTTGGCGCTAAACCTTCATTTTATCCATTTGTGGCAACAATTATTCCCACTTTACGATGTCTTTCGATTTCTTGCAGAACGAAGTGCGCCGGGACTATTTTTCACAATTACTCAAAATTGCGACTTTTGCCGCTGAGCCCTGATTTATTTATTTCTTTTATTCGTTAACAATGGCCCTAACGCTGTCCTAACCGTAGCTGCCCGATTGCTGGACTCCTAACCGAGGGTGTTGGAATTTTTTCTTTTTCTTGCAGAAACGAATCAGGAACAAGGACTTTGACGGGGAAGCTGCCGAGATGGAGTCCGAGAAGAAATAAAAAAATAAAGAGAGAACTAAAAAAAAAATCACACCGAGTTACTACAAACGCGAATTACTCGACAATGCATTTTTCTACTGACTTTTTACTAATTAACGTGACGAGAGAGAAAAACGAAAGAAAAATCGCTAGAACTTAAATCGACCTTGAAAAATGCTTGAAAATTGCGCTGACATGCTGCACTACTTATCTTTTCTTTTTATATTAGTTAACATAATTAATCAATTAACGGTGATGGCGGGTAGTTTGGGGATTAATATTTATAAGCTTGCCTGGCAAAAGCGAAATTTCGTTTTCAGTCCCCGACACATTGCCCTCTGGTTCCAGAGTACATGAATTTCTTACAAAATCAGTCGAGAGACAAATTGTTGCAAATAATTTATAACTACTCGTCTCGTCGTCAGCGAATGTCCAGTTCCATCTCATTTTCAATTTCAGTTACATTTTCCTAACATAAGTACCCCATTATCCTGGAAATAGTTGAATAAATTGTAACCATTGTTGACCAGCAAATAAAATGAAATCCAGTGACTCTATTTAATGGAATTAATATTTAACACGTAATTGAACTTTCATTATTTCACTTCGATACCTTTTTTTTTCTTTCTTAACTTGAACGTATTTTTTAGAATAATCCATTTCCTTTTTTCGAGTCGAAGACTAAAAACCTCGTAGCAAGTTTCCACTTCACTCTCTTGGTAACAATAATTTAACAATTATTCCCATCGATGGGTTTACTCCCATTCGACACTAATAAACAATCTTTTCTACAACTTGACGTTTTCTCTCGAGAATTCTCATTAATCTTTCAGTAATTCTTCTTTAACGAGTAACTTCTGTCTCCATTTTCGCATCTCTACAATTCACGTCAAATTCTTGGTACATTGAGAAACCTTTTATCTTCTTTGTAAATAAATGATAAAAAATTATAAACAGTAAGGTGAAATTATCTATCTATTTCCCCATTGTTAACAAATTCATTTCATGGAGTCGCTACCAAAATTGAAGCGGAAATCTGCATCGTGGGTAGGTAGAAAATTTAATTTCCAAGGATAATAGAACATTTAAGTCCATTTGAGTGAAATAATCATTCTTCGCATTAACAAAATATTCCTTCGGTCCATTCGAAGATGGTTCGATGAGTTTTTATTTCTTAGGGTGGAACGGAACCATTGAGCAAATTATTATTAAAATAGAAAACAAGTTCCAGCCTCGATCTCAATAACAATTAATTTGTCCTTGTTGTAGATTTTCTTGTTATTGTTGTAGATGCGACTTCATCCCCCTGGTAGCTTCACTCCGTACAATGGAACGCGTTTGTCGAAATTTATGTCTATCGGCCAGAAATTAGACACAAAGGAGAACCAAATTTAAAAAGGCATCTTCGAGGGAGACAAGACGATAAAAGATCTCACGAGTCAAGAAATTATTACAAACAATGGTTATCTCATCGAGGGAGAGCTCAGGAAAAGTCTAATAACGATGAGGAATTACCACTGAATTTTTCTCAAGAGTTCCGGTAATAAAAGAGTATTCAGAAAATTCCTGGCATTTTCTGCAAAGAGATTAACAATCGAAATGAAAACTGTAAGAAACAGAGTCAAGAGAGAAGGAAAAAATCCCAGCGCCTGTAAAGCCCGCGACTTGTAACATATTTGTAACATACTAATTTATCGAGAGTAATATATACACTGTACAGATAATGTTGCACATTAGTTAACCGTAAAATAAATTCTCGTTCCTGTGTACAAAAACAAGCGTGCCCATTTTTATTCCTGCGAAGGCATCGTTTCTTTATCACAATCTATCCGAGTCGAATAAGTGTTCTACGAACTACCCAAATATTCCATCGAGGCTGTTCGAAGAAATATTCCTTCCGTTTGATGAATTCTTTTCCTCGGCGTAGTTTTTCACGAACTCAAAGAATGCCTCCGGAAGTCCCAAAACATACTGATATGTAATATTTACAAAATATACAAGTGGCAGTGCACCTCAAGCACGTCAGGTACGCCGATTAAAGTACAAAGAGTATATTTCATTTGTACAATATATTAAATCAATCGATCTCTGTTGACGATTACGACAATCGATAGCCTAGAGCTACTCTTCATCCCCGTCAAAATATATGAATATCCTCGTGTAATCTCCGAGGACACTATAAAGACGCAGTTGACAAGAATAGTACATTCTCCATTGCCAAGAAGCCCATACATCTCTTTCATACTATTCATTTCCCGTTAATCGTCGAGACAATGCGAATTTTCCCTAGTACCGCTCTCGTGCGTGCTCCTAACCTAAATACAAACGAAATTCCAAGTCCATTCGAAACAATTCTTACAATTGAATGGAATTACAATGAAATAAAACGTATTGCAATTAATAGGATCGTATTACAATTAATCGAATCCTATCCAGCCTCATCCGCAGGACCTTACAAACTCACCTCCGCAAGTTTTTCAAAAACCAAAGAAAAGGAAAGAAAAAAAAAAGGTAATTCCGACGAACGTGACGTCAAAACAAACGATAATTCTGAATATTCACCATATTCTACAGATTATTAGTGAATCTTCGGTTTAACATAACCTCTCTCTCGATTTTCCAACACTTCAAAACAAGGATCAAGTTCGACCGGAAATCACATCGGCTAAATTCTCGAAATAAGATCGAGAAAATCGACAACCGCGCGCCAAATTCGAAACGCCCCCCCAATCAAGGGACTATAATTATTAATAATCATATAACCCAAAGGATTATACTTAATGAATTATTAATAATTAATTAAGAACCACGGCGTGTCTTCCCTCGAGTCCATGCCACTCTTGTATCATACACGAAACCGAATTTTGACAAATAAAATGTATCAAAATAGCCCAATAGTCGGCTTCAAAAAAGTATGATACAACTAGGAACATTAAGGCGACATGGAAGAGTCATTCTGCATATATGAGACTTTCATACCACCTTAAATCAACACGGGCTGAATATCGAAGCGTAGCCACTACCTGACGGACTTAACAATCATATAAAATTGAATAATTTACATTCTAATTATCTAGATATAAAGAACATCTCTATCCACGTCACGCCCGCGCAGCTGCCTATACAATAATATATATTTAAGGGGATGCGAAAGGGGAGTTTCTACTCCTTCGAGTAATCGTCTCCCCGAAACATTTCTCCAAACTGGATGATACATTCACATCCCCATAAGCTAATTGAAAACCGAGGTATTCAAGAAATTGCCAGGTCCCTCTTATCAAACCACCGTGTCTCATAAAGATCATCTTCAGGATTACAATACAAGCTTGCCGCCATTAGAGGCCCTAATCTGCGCGACTTGTTCGGGTGTAAGAATAAGTTTACTCCCATTAGGCAAAGCCAGAGCATAATGACTACCAGTCTCATTAACAACAACAACAAGTTTCGTGCCAGAGTTCTGATTAGCCAGGGACGGCGGTTTAACAGGAGTGATAGAGATCCCACCCTGGTTCATGCGTTGCATGATTTGCGGCGGGAGGACATTCTTCGGGGAGGCGACAGTGATCTCCGAAGTGATAACAGGTTTTTTCCTGGCCTCCTCCTTGGACCTCTGAGGCCGACCGGGGTCCTTCTCGGTGATGATCATCTCGATCTCGTCGTCACTGTCGCTAAGGACGATCAAGGAAGTGGTCTTCTGTCCAGCCTCCCTCCTAGGAGTAGGTCGTTGCAAGTTCTGCTGAGACCCAGGGCCTCTGAGCCTCCTAGAGCCCATCCTCTGGAAGGATCCTCTGACGGGCATCTGGCTCCTGATAACGGCGCCATTAGGATGGGAGAAGCCTCCCCTAGGCGACGCCAACCGATTTATCTGTTGCTTGTTGCCTCCCCTAGGAGAAGGAACAGAAGCACCCCTAGTCGGGAACTGATGAGCCCCTCCACGAGTAGAGCCAGGATGCCTAGGGGCGTTCATGTACCCTGGGTGTAGAGGAGGGGTGTTGAGTGCGTACTGCAAGTAGCTGGGGTTGTCAGGGTGCAGAGGCCTCGTCGCCGTGGCGCCCTGAGGGCCTTGGGGACTCTGGTGCCTGATCTTCTGGGGCTGGTACAGCATCTGCTGGGCAGGTGGAGGCCCTATGCGCTGGGGGAGGTGCAGCTGATGCGGAGGTTGATGCTGAAGCTGCATCTGCTGCTGATGGTGACGCTGAAGGCTCTGGGCCTGCTGCTGTTGCAGACTCTGGTGCTGCAGGTTAAGATTATGCGGTTGCTGCTGCATACTCTGCGGTTGTTGCTGCATACTCTGCGGTTGCTGCTGCATATTATGCGGTTGCTGCTGCATATTATGCTGTTGTAGCTGCATCCGCTGCATCTGCTGGTGCCTCTGCACGTCCATCTGGTACCCCTGGGGGCCTGGAACCCCGTACCCTGGTGCACTACCTGGCAGGTAGCAGTTTTGCATCTGCTGCATCTGGTGCACGACCATAGGGCTCGGCTGGACGATACCGGGGATCCCGACACCGGGTTGCATCAGGAGGTAGCCTGACATCGTGGGGCCCTCGGACTTGACCACTAGGTAGCCTTGTTGCTGGACACCAGCTTCACCTGGTGGACCTGCACCTGGGTACCCGGTCAGTGGACCTCCTTCCTGGTGGTATGGGTATTGGTCTACTCCTGGGTTCTCTTCTTTAATGTCCAACTCGGAGTGGACGCTCGACGCGTTCTCCATCTCGCTGGGCAACTCCCCGGGCGTGGAAGGCACTGCTGATCTCGGAGACCTCGAACTGCTCGGTTCACCTGGGGTCCTAGGAACTTCGGGGGTCCTCGATGTGGACTCTTTGGTTTCGACGCGACCGCGACTGCTGTCGAGGGCCTCGTCCGCTGGAGTGGCGCGGCTCGAGGAACTCTCCCGCGAAGAGTCGGCCCTGCCGCTCTGAGGTTTACCCTGAGACGCCCTCAGCCGTCGATGGGACGCTGAAATTAAACGATCTCGTTGCAGATTTCCTTCCCCTAATTGTTGTTACCTCATTATCGGTATATAAATTCACACATTGTACTACCAAACGACTTAGTTCGTTTGTTCACGCGTACGTAAGCAACCGTCGTTGCCCTTATTAGCCACCGCCTACCCTGCACGTTCATTTACTTCAAGCCTTAACGACTGAACTTACGACGAAACCAAAGAGGACCTTTTTTACAGAGAATTTAGTTCCCTTCAAGTTTCATCCTAAGCGTTTCCTCGTAGGTGTCCGGGTTTTCTAAATATTCCCGAAGAAGTACCCACCCGAACGTTTATTTTTCCTCTTGCGAGAGCCCGGTAGAATCCAATCCTGGTCTGAGTCCTCCGACCAGTCGTCGTTCGTTCCTGCCTGTGAAGGAGCGTCTGCAGGGGGTGCACCGTCCTGTGGGCAGGAAGTTTTGTGGACTGCCGAAGGGTTGGACCACCCTTCCAGCTCATCCTCGTCGGTCTCCTCTGAGTACAGCTGTTCCGTATAGGAAGAGACGCCCCTCGCGCGCAGGACTCTTCGGGTTTGCGGCTCTTCCGGCTCTGTCAAAGCAACCGGATAAACAAATGAATGAACCACCTCGACCAGCACTGCCTTAAAACATTTCTCCAAACCGGAAACCATCACCTTAGGCCTTAGGCCTAACCACGTGCTCAAATTTCGAACGATTCTCGGTGCACCCGGTTTGGAGAAAAATATAATAATTACATTCAGGATGTATACATTAGCGTTACCCATGAGTAATGAATTATCTTGAAAGGTGTGTTTTAGACGTGTAAAAAAAAAAAAATGTGTTACTTATCGGTACCTATTATAGAATGACCCTTTCATATCACTTTAATGTACTCGCTCTATCTCCCCATTTAACTTTTAAGAGACCTTTCGAGCTCGACTCGTCTCTCTCGCGTTCGTCGAGGTCTTTCTCCTCCTGGTTCTCGTCGTCGGCTCTACGTAGCACGTCCTCAACCGGAGAGGTTTGACTCTCGGTCGGGCGCTGCGCCTCGTCCCGGTGGGATTCGCCGTCGCGACGCCTTTGGTCACCTGTCGCTGATTGGTCGTGGGCTTGGGCGCCAGGTGGGGGTAAGGCAAGCTGCGATATCGCCTGTAACGCTGGGTCGCTGGTGGATGGCAGTGGACAGCCCTGCGATCCAATAACCCACCAATTAGAGCTGAGACCACCCACACCGGACCAGTCCCGATCCTGATCCTCCACGATGCTACAACACACATCAGCTTGTCTGCCACACTCGCTCGGTTACGTGGAAAGGATCGTGGAGGTGGACAAAAGGGACTGATCGTTAAGGGAGAAGTATCGGCATAAGGGCGAAATTCCCAGACCCGGGCAGGCGACTTTCGACCAAACGCCTTTAAGAGTGACGTCAAAGTGACTCGTTTATGAAACTTTTCACCTAACTGGGTGTACCGAATCGATTCAAACCTTGCAATATAAATGTAGAGGGTATAAGGAAGGTCATAATTTTCGGATGTTCTAAATAGAATAATGAAAAGTTAAAAGGCTCGAGTGCAATTGTACGTATCCCTGGGAAGGACGTAGAGTCGTGGATTCCGACCTGGGGAGTAATTTCATTTTTACCTCCCTTCTGAATTTAATACGGGAGATGAAAATGATCGGATCCGAATTCACGACTCTAGGTGGACTGGCTGGACGTGGTGGGCGAAGACTAAAGGACTTATCACCAAAAGCGTTCGGCAAGTCTCGAAAGTGTCCGAGCTTGAAAATGTAATTTCTTCGGATTTAATACACCATTATCGAAAATGTACATCGAAGGACGTGATTGGATATTTCCTCCCTCGTGGGGATTCTGCTATCAATGTGTGATAAGAAGACATTCATGTCCGCCGGTGTACATTTTGGGAGAATCAAAGATGCCGTCTCTTTCGGTCTCTGCCTTCGGCTGATGGGTTTCTAAAAAGGGGCTCCTCTTACCCGTTCTTGAAGTTGTTCCACTCCTTCTGGAGCTTCGCCCTGGCCTTCCTCGTGGACTCCTTCAAGGCTGCCTCGGTCTTTTCCAGGGACTCGATCATTTCCACCATCTTCTGGGCGAGTTTCACCTCGCAAGGCGGCCTCGCTCGATCCTGAAGAGAAATGAGGGGAAATTAATGAATACAGGTACTTCAAGGATGCTGAAGAAATTAAGTGAGAAAGAAGAGGTCTAACTGGGGATAATCAAGTACCGTGGCTTTCTGGTCAGGGTCCTCATCAGAAAACGAGGCAGCCAGTTCCCTAAGAGCCTCCACGCTATCGGCAACTAACTCGAACGTAGAAACCGCAAGATCGGCCAGCATCTCTTGAAAGTCCTCGACCTCGTTCTTCAAGACCTCCGGCTTGACTTTCTTCGAGGACCTCAAGCTGAACCTGTTCCAGACAGGGACCTCGCTGAACCCGGAGTCCTGAACATCGTCGTTATCCCCCTGCAGCCTTCCCTGGGCCTTCAGATAAGATTTGTGCTCGACCTCGGAATCCGAGTCTTCCCTGACCAAGCCAGACTCCAATCTTCCATCGGTTTTCCTGAAGATGTCCTCCTGGTTCGGCTCTTCAGCTTTGCCAAAGGAGTCCGAGTCCTCTTCGGGTCTATCCGAGCTTTCGGACAGGTGTCTTTCATCGGAATGAAGACCTCTGTGTTGCCTGGGGGACCTCCTGGACTCGCTCTTCAGCCTCTTCCTGGGTCTATTCCGGTAGTTCTTCCTGGCCCTGCTGACCTTCCTGGGCGCGGAGTCCTGCGTGTCCTCGCTGGACTTCTCCTGGACCTGTTTGTTGATCTTCTCGATGGACTCGATGGTCGCAGACTCCCTCAGCCTCTCGGACCATCCATCTAAGACCGAAGAAGAGGACTCACCATGTTCCTCCTTCACATTCTCCCCGTTCCGGATTTTTCTCCTCTTGCTTTGAGAACTCGTCTCCTCTTCCGGAGGGGTTTCAAGGTCTAAACTTGACCTGCTGCCTTTCGTCTCGATCAGCTTCTCGTCGTCCGACTTGGAGGTGAAGAGCTGCCTGGTGTCAGGAATCTCCTTCGTATCTATACTTGAATCGTTACAAATGATCTCGTTTAGTTTCTCGTCGTCTGTCTTCGAGACGCTCGCAGTTGGGATCTCAGGATCAACAGATTGACTTTTAGACCCAGCCCTGTCTGGAGATACCCTGGACCTACCTGACTCATCAGGATTGATCGAAGCACCTCTCTCCATGGAATCTACCTTCGATGTCAAACCAGTAAGGATCCCAGAGATCATGGCTATGTCAGGATTCTCAGCATCCTCTTCGAAGCCTTTGAATCCCTGCTTCGATCTGGCCTCATCCGCAGACTTTGCATCGATGGACCCATTAGTATCGTAGCCACTTGACTTCGCATTGCTCAGCTTCGACAGCGCAGAGGTGGTGCTCTCTTCGGAGGTCTTCGAAGAGCTCCTGGATCTCTTCGATGAGATCCCCTCCATGTCTATGTGGTTATTATTGGTGTTGTGGCTGCAGGCACTCACACTGCTGAAACTTGTGTCTTCGCTGGCTAAGCAACCGATGGCACTGTCTGCGCTGCACTTGCAGTCGCTGGCTGTGCCCTCCTCTTCTTGCTTTTTCTTCCCTCGGGCTTTCGTTCTAGATGGTAGACTCCCTCTCTTCCATCGAAACTTCCTCCTTCTGCTTCTCTCAGGCTTCGAGTTCTTCGACTCCTCTTTCTTGGTCTGCGGCTTTGGTGTCAGGAGGCACTGGACCGGCTGAAATTATATTTCCTTTGTTTCAGCACTCAGTCATACCGTCCTCTAATTTACAATGCATCTTATTTCCGACATGATATAACAGAAACCAAGGAATCTCGAATTTTCGGAATGACCGCCAGGGTACAACCGATGCTCACCTTCACAGTCGACAGGACTTTGTTATCCAGACAATGCCTGTAAACTCTCAAATCCGTGTCGATAAACTGCGGAAAATATATGTATCTCGCCCCGTGTCTGTCCGTTCCCAAAACCGTTTCAGCTTGGTCCTCCCATCGTTGTTTCGCCACCTCCTCTTGTACGGTCTTCCTCGAGTGCTGGGAAATTATTAAAAAATCATATATTAACCTCCTACACCCTTCCTAGATATCTCAGAAAACAAAGACCAACCATGATGGTATCGCAGACTGTTTTCAGCAGCCAGACCCTCTGCTTGAAACTCAGCATCTCGAAGTCTTTGTCTTCGATCGAAGAAGGATCAGGAAAGACTTTCCAAAATTCCGGCTCGATGCCCGTTGTCTCTAAAACCTGGGAGACCCAAATTAATATCCTATTTCAGTTATTCTTTTCTTTTAAACTTGCCATCGATGCGATGGCAAATTTTTCATTTAGTTCGATACGCTACCTTGATGGAGTCTTGGTGCTTTCCCAGGTAGATCTTAAACCAACTTTTGGCTTTATGCGCTAAAATGTTCGTCCAGAACTCGTAGGGCATCGGCGGTATCCGTCGAACTTTAGTGCGAATTACAGGAGAACTGAAAAAAAAAAAAACATGATTCCCCACGTCGGCTAATTTGGTTAGGAAACGTTCAGTCGAAATTTTCCGAAAAGAAACGCCTACTTCGTGGAATAAACTGAAAACGCTACCTCAGCAAGCAAGTCATCACACTTCCAAGTTGTTTCGAAGCCCTGGGCATTAGCAACATCCTCTCCATCTCGTACATCGACAAGTGTGGGATGTTCAACACATCCTTGGTGAGATAAAGAAAGTGGAATATCTGAGGGATCTGAAAAGAAATTAATTATTACAGAATTTAATTCCAGCCTCGAGATTACAAATTGGTTAAAGAAAAAAAGACCTGCTGAAGAAATTACCTCCCACATGGACTCCATCTCGTCCTTGACATCATCAGGAAGGATGTTTTCCTTCTCCCAGTCGACCATAACCTGCTCCTCGCCCTCGAATTTCCGTTTCCTGCCTTTTTTCGACATCTTGTCTGAAAAGAGACGAAATCATTACTACAATTATTCCAGAAGGATTATTTTGGCAAATTTCCATGACCTCAGGATAAATCTGCGAAGGAAAAGGTCCATCGGAGGAAATTTGATACGAAGAAAATTCAAGTCGAAGCAGTCTCGATGGCTCCATAAGCATTCGTCACATTTAATAAGTACCACTGTATACGTCACATAGCACATCGCAGTGCATAAAGTGCATCGATCAGGCTTGTAAATATTGGCCTTAGATCGATCCCTAGTCCTTTATCTGATAGATAATTATAAACGATTAATGCCTGCTGTGGACAATCGTTTATACGTGTACACAAACCTAATCATGTTTCCCCCTCGATAAAACAGAGCACAAGGTATAATTTCGCGCGTTATCAGTAAGTACGACAATTTAAGAAAAACGCAACTGCAATTCCGGTACTTTCGCTCACAATAATTAGTTCTTATAATAAATACAGAACAATTGATGATGATAAAAGGAAAAAAAAAAATAAAAGTAGAGGTTCTTCGAAGCGGTGAATAAAAAATGATTACATGGAAGGCATGCATCGATGAATTTTTTCGAAGCTCGTTGTGTGTTCGTTGTTATCAGGACACCCGTTAAATTTTCGATTTGTCAATGGAGAAGCAAGCACGAAGGGGTCGTCACGAAACCTAGAGGAAGGCTCTTAAAAACAGAAAACGAACTTCGCAAGTCCAGTGAGTCCTCGAGGATCGTTAGGGAAAAGTTTGAACAACCCTCGTCCTTCGATCGTTGCGATAACGAGCCGAGGAATGTTTTCACATAATTAAGTCAAGTCAGCAAGCCGCCAGTCAAGTACAGGGCTGCGTTTAAAACCAAACAAAAAAGAAAAAAAAGGAGAGAAACCACTCCAGATCGAAATTGCACTGTCCTCCGAAGACTGCGAAAGAGCTGGTCATCCTTGAAAAACGTTCCAAAAAGAGAGCCTAAAAACATAGAAAAAAGTCAAAAATGGATCACAAGTTCGTAACGGATACGCAGGACCACAAAAGGCAGAAAGACAATAATCTAACTGTTTCTATTTTCAACAATTATAAAATCAACCAAGCCACCTTGAATTACCTGAACAATTATGAGAATTCCTTGCCATATGCCATCGACAAGTTTAAATTACAAAGTCACTACGGAACATCTGAGTCCCTCGAAGAGTACATTCCGAAGGTGGAGTTCCTAAAATGAGCCTGTTGAACAATAAATATTTATTATTCTAAAAGTCAAATAAAAAATTGCATCGATCACAGTATTCTATTTTTTTTCCCCTACAGGTGACATTTCGATCAAAGGAATTGAACAAATCGACTCTGAGACCGAGGCATGTGAATTTGTTGAACAAAAGGGTCCCGTCAATTGAAGAGATGAACACTCAGGAAAGCAAAACACCTGAAAGGTACTGTTACATAATTTCGACAATTTTCTAAATTTAATTCTCGACCGTTTGAAATGTAGAAAATCCCAACAAAGGCAGGAAAAGCATTTCTCAAGGAGCAACGAGCAGAGTAACAAATCCAGCTTGCGAAGAGACATGGCAAGATGTTTCCAAGAATCAGAATTTGGCCCTACGATGCAACAATACTGTTTCAACAGTACTCTTCACGGTCTGAAATACGTAGGAGACTCAACCCTGTCAATTTGCGAGAGGTGAGGAGAAAACGACTGTTCACAGATAATAAAAACTGGAAATTCTCACGAAAAATCTCGATCATTTTCAGGATCTTCTGGATCCTCTCATTCGCCTCCGCAGTAGCAACAGCAGCATATTACATCTGGATCTCATATAACAAATGGTCCCTGAATCCAATAATAATTTCCTTAAGTCCCGAGCCAGTATCACTTACAGAAATACCGTTTCCATCTGTCACCATCTGCAACATGAACAACGTAAAGAAATCTGAAGCCACTCGGATAAACCAAGGGTACGGTACAACCTAAACATTTCCTCTATCGAGAGGAAAATCTTCCACCAAAGAGAATTTTCTGCTCGATAGAATTAACACAAAGAAATTAATTATAATCACAGGAAGGACAATCTGGAGAAACTTTTCCTGGATGACCTCTGCGACTACGAGAACAACACTTACTTCAACGACCTGGATGAGGCTTCCGGCAACTGGAGCAACGTGCTGCATTTCATGATTAACGTACGATCTTGAAAAGTTTCTTCGATCTTACTTAACCACCACAGGAAAATCGGTGCACATAATTCAACTTGGATTTTCAGGTGTCGCAGTCATGCAACGAAATGCTGTACTTATGTCAGTGGCACGGAAACACAACGGACTGCACAAAGATCTTCAATCCCACGATGACTGACGAAGGGATCTGCTGCAACTTCAACTCGGTCATCCGAAAGTACTTGTTCTACAACCCGTGAGTTTTTTCGGTCCACTGATAAATCAACAACTGAATAAGTATCACTGTCACTTCACCTCCACCATCGATATAGAGTCCTTTAGAAGCTTAGAAGAGAGGCCTAACCTAAATCCATACAAAACTCTCCGATAACCTTGCAGAAGAGACTGGTCGGATTTGAACATGACCTTTCCATTTCCCGGGATTGACTGGAACCCAGAAACAGGGTACGACGAATCCGTGCCAAAAGATTCGACTCCGTGGAGACCTTACGGAGCAGGAAAACATTTGGGTCTGACGTTGGTGCTCGACGCAGAACTCGACGAGTACTATTGCTCCTCCACAGCTAGTGCAGGTTTTAAGGCACGTGAAACTGTAAACATGGCTTTGAATGATGTCAATTACAGTGATATAATTAGAACGATACGATCCCAGATGCTACTCCACAATCCTGTGGAGACACCGAAGATCGCAGACTACGGGTTCTCCATCTCCCCAGGAACGGAAACTCGGATCATCGTCACTCCTAGAATGTCTACAGCCAGCAGGTCCTTACTTAAGATCCCAAAGAAACAGCGCAAATGCTTCTTCACTTCCGAGAGGCGTCTCAAATATTACAGGACGTACACACAAAGCAACTGCGTGCTAGAATGCGAAGCCAACTTCACTCAGAAGATGTGCCAGTGCGTTCAACACTACATGCCTAGTACGTAGATCGAGAAGAAAATATGAAAATGTTTTCATTTCATAGTTCACAAACTCTGGAAACAGAAATATTATTACTCATTGGTTTATTATGTGTATTCTACATTCATCCAGAATCGATGAACACACTGATCTGTGGAAAGAAGGACGAGCTATGTGCAAGACAGGCCAGGAAAATGATGGAACTCAAGCTTTTCGACGACGAGGACACCATAAGCCTGCTAAACGTCTCACAAATTCAAATGTAAGGAAAAGGAAAAATAAGTCATCTAAAAAATTACTTTTGGAGAAGGTCATAAATAATTGCTTAATTACTTTCCTCGCATTATGGCCTAGTTAACGTTTCTCTCAAAATAAAAGCGAAATTCATGACAAGTGCAATATAGATAGGGCAGTAATTTTAACATTATCATGCTTGGAGATCAAATGTGAATAATTAATGGTTAATTGCAGTCCGAGCTGCAACTGTTGGCCTGGCTGTTTTGAAATAAGCTACGAGGCTGGAATGTCAGAGAGCAGTCTGTCGAGCTCCTTCAAAATTGGCAGCATTTACGTGAAAAACAACGAAGAATACTTTGTGTAACGATAATGGCATTCCCTTCATTTCCCTTTTCCATTTATCTTAGTTGTATCGAGTTAAAAGCACCTTTACGATATAATCAATTGACTTTACCGACGCAGGAAAAACATGGCCGTGGTGCATCTGTACTTTGTGCACACGCAGTTCACAAAATTCTTCAAGAACGAGCTCTTCGGATTCACCGAGTTCTTGGGTAAATATGGTTATTACCTCCGTTTGCACAATTTCTATTGACCAGTGGTACACGGACTAACTCTGTATTTATGCAAGGTAAAAATTAATAAGTAACCTATTTCTCCAGCAAGTACCGGAGGCCTCTTGGGACTGTTCATGGGTTTCAGCATATTATCGCTCATCGAAGCTGCATATTTTCTAACGATCCGCCTCTGGTGCCGCATTCACAGACAGGACAGAGATCCTAATGACGCATCGCTTCGCATACAGCCTGTTAATCGCAGTCGCCACTTCGTGTACCCATTTATCCAATAAATTACACTGGCGAGTTTATAAACTAAACGATACAAACTCACGTCTCCCCACAACTCGACTCCTCTGAAATATAAGAAGTGTCAAATTAAAAAGTGAATAAACATAAGAAACCTGACATTCGCTGCCACAATTCATGGGTAATAAAAATGAGATTAGTATAGGACTGCAAAGGGATGCTATACCCAATTCGCCGTTCTCCAATACATGACAATAGAAACGGAACGAGCAAACCGATGCCCTTGTCAATGACGAGGCATAATGTAGGCAAAGTTGGATCGCTTGATAAAAAATCCATAAATGTAGCAAAGGCCTTCGAAAGTGGGTCCCTGCAGTCTCGATGCGGCACCTGATCCGCGAACAAGCATTTTCAGGAGAGTCAACGTGACATCGGCGTGATGACATTAAATTCAAATTCCAGACTACAGCGAGTTATTACGAGGGCCGCAGTCAACATTGTTGACGTTAAGGAATGTTTTTCGAAGTCAGAAGGACACCCACGCGGATTTCAATCCACGGCGGCACTCGGCCTGCGAGTCGTGACGCGTTTCGTGTTATTTTTACCGGCCAACTCACCGTTTCTCAGCGAATTTCTCGGCGAAACGTCGATTCAGCGGCCTCGGGGAGCCTCCTCGTCCATGTCAGCCCGGAAAACCCGCGAAACTCGCGAGCAAAGAATACTCTCTGCTCGCGAGGAAAACGGAGAAAACGCGAGAAAGCACTTCTCACCAGAGATGAGTTCAGATGAGTTGGGAGATTGCTCACAGGTAGGGTCGCGCGATTGTCCTCTGCTGCTCCCTAGTGGTTGGTGCGACCGGCGCCATGACAGGTGACTTCATTAACGTAGTTCCGACGAAGCCCACGCCGCGGCGCCACGCACGCAGCGGCTAATTCAAACTCATCACACCTGAATGAAGCGCATGAAGACAATACCCAAATACCATTGTATGTACCTACGAATACTCTTAAAATCTTTTAATATACTCTCGATATTTGGAATATTTTAGGAAATATTCTGTATATACATTTATAAGCCAGAACATGCTTGGAATATTCTGAAAAGTTCTGCGTCCCATGAACATTAACTGTAGATCTTAAATATTAGCATCGTGTTCTGGGACCAACGAAATATTCGTTAAACAGATTCGTAGCAATGGTAAATGTAGAAATATATTTCGGTATATTAAATCGCCAACTGTTTGTAACAACTAGGTACATATGGTACGTATCGGGAGCTTCCGGAAAAGCGTCGTTACAGAAACGCGCTAAGAGAAGCCCTAACAAAAATCGTTATAATAAACACATGTTCGGTAATCGAAATCCCGATTGCAGCTTAAAATAAATCGCAACAGATAATGGCATAGCCAAAGACTCGCATCTACGGGGAGGAAAGTTCCTGGCGAGAAAAGTTCAAGGCCAGCCTCGGCTCGAAGACGCTTCGGCGCAGGTTTGAACCGTTCCTCTCATATTTTCTTTTAATTATTTCACCGTTTACGTGACATACATACATTTGCGGCAATAGTGCAACGAGGTGGTGTACAAGAAGAGGGAAAACCTGCGCATGAGCGGGCGCAAGAATCGCAGCGGCCGGTGAAATAATTAGTCTCGCGTTTCGAGGACCTCATTAGCTAGAGCGAGAATTCAGGCGAGTACTCGAATACATAAAAGTACGTGTTCGCATACATACACCTCGGTTTTTATTTCCAGAAAACCCGAAGTCAGGACCCATTTCTCGGAGAGTTCTTTCAGTCTCTTACTCGGCATCCGCGAGGACTCGACCACGGCTCGCACTTCCCTGGATTTTTCTATCCAAGGACGTTAATCGCACAATTCTTGTTAACAAATATCTAAGAACAATTGTCGAGTCTTATCGGTGATATTAAATAATACTGACGGTAATTGAAGCGCAAAAGTCTCTTACTCGGCGCCCGCAGCTCGCAATTCCTGGATTTTTCTATCCAAGGACGTTAATCGCACAATTCTTGTTAACAAATATCTAAGAACAATTGTCGAGTCTTATCGGTGACATTAATAATACTGAGGATAATTCCAGCGCGTAGGAAATTCGTAAACTCCCGGAAAAATGTACAGCGTTCACGTGACTCCTGGAGGATCCTCCGGCAGACAAGGAACTTCAAGAAGTCACGACAGCGAACATCCTTACAAAGGTCACAGGAGAGAATCTGTCTCCGCAAGGGTTTTCAATTACATTCGAGCACAGTTTCAAGCCGAAGGGATTCCAGGTGAATCCGGCGTCTTTTTTTTTTCTTCAATTCCACGATGAAAAAAGTCCCTCTCGGTTGGAGCCACGCTGATAGAGATGCCCATGTGAATTTACATACTCGATAATTTTCTTATTTTTATGCCACGATAAATTACATTGTCTCTGTAATGTCACTCTCGAGATTTAAGTTAAAGTAATATTACATTTAACTCAAGTGAACATTCACTAATACGGTAAATGTACAATGTTAGGTGTATTACAAATATTGTAAATTTACATAAACTTTCATCGGTGCACAATTACAGAGTCGAATGAAATTTCTACGGAGGGACTTATATGGCCCGAGGGTATTTTACTCGACTTTGATTAATTGGGAAACTGTCCTCCATCGAATGATTTCATTTGGTTATTAATTCGTGGACGTTAAGACATTTTTTCAGAGCATAATTCGATTTTGTAACGTGAGCGATATATGGAGAATATCTAAAGTCTTTCTATCGTTGCATATTCTCTTAAGTCGCATGCGATCTGCTCTTAATCTGCACGATGTGATTACTAGAGGACTTAGTAATTGAGCACGACTTATTAATGGGGTCTCGTTAAAATTATGGTAATATTAGAGTACAGCTTATGGTAAAGGCACTTGAAACTTCTATGCGATTCTCTGTTGCGAGTATTTTAAGACTGAATTTTATACCATTGATTCGATTGTTTAAATTGAGAATGATTATATTCTAGCAATCTAGAAACTTAACAATTCGTCTCTGAGCGATTCCGGATTGTAGAAACACAGTGGAAAAATGAAAATTCACTTTACGCTAACCCTGAGAAACAGTGTTGAGGAAATTGATTACATCGAATACAACTACGTCCTACTCCTTTGACGTCAGTGATTATCAAGACTGAATTTGTTGATAGAAATTGCATAATAATTTCGATATCAACTGAGCCATCGAGCCCTTTCAATTGGACTTATTAATTGAAGGAGCATCGATGAGACTGCCTTTTTTTAGAATTCTCCGCAAGATAAAGAGGAACTTCACCGTATAAAAATTCCTATTAGAAAAGGATTTGTTTGCGATATCCCAGATTATTTATAACAATTTCATCTCCACTCTAAAAAAGATCATAGGCTCGATTTTAAACCGGAACTTGCTCGAGTCTATTAAATCTTCCCAGTGGAGATTATTGCCTTGAGAATTTTTCCTTACAAAGAAACACTCTTAAAAATTAATATCTTTCCTAATCTCATCATCGCAAATGCTGCCCAGTTTAGGAGTAATAAACAATCCACTGTCGTCCGATAAGGAAGTTTCCTTGTTAAGATTGTAAGGCTCTCCGCTGTGCCTAATATCAGAAAATTGATAACCAGGGTAATTATTAATCCAGGCATCATTTATAAGATTCTCGTTCCTAGATTTCGCTGTTTCTTCGACTTCAGTCTGTCCATTGTCTGAAATTATTTTGTCTTTCTCCGCCAACATAATAATTTCCGCATTTTGCAATTTCTCGGTCGCATCTTGACCCTCTCGACGGTTTTTTGAATTGGGCATTATCAAGCCCGTAGCAGCATCATTGTATAACAAGAAATGCGGTAAAAAACTGTGTTGTCTGTGCTCTGCAACTAATCTCTTTTTCTGAGAACAACAGGAATTCTCAGCTGCTATCATTTGTGAGATAATTGGAGCGGTGTAACAATAAACGCAAGAGGTTTGCTCAATTTTTGAATAATCTACGCAGCTTTGAGTGGTGCGGAAGTTTAAAATGTTTTCAAGGCCACTGTTCGTTGAATTGTTTGGCAGCCACCTTGGCCAGTATGCTTCTAGAGCTCCTTAAACAAAATAATGAATAACTCAATTAACAAAATAGGATTCTATTTGTGGAAAAACGATTTAAATAATTCCTATGACTTTACGTTACGGATTACATTGATTCCAACATACTGTTCAATTGGGCCTGCGATGCTTCTACTGCGACTGAATCTGTTTGAACATCTGGCTCTGGTTGCAAAACATTATTGCAGTTTCTTTGCTCATACCCAGCAATGAAAGGAGATGCCTGATTATTACTGATACTTCCGTACTGATTAAAAATCTCAGCATCGTACTGTGTCGGAGTATCAGAATAAGGACGAGGAAATGTAAGCGGAGGCTCTTGGATATGTTCGTATGGATTAGGAGTCGATTCTAACTGAGGAAATGTCGAAACTTGCTCAACTTCTGGTACATATGTGTCTTGCACCGATGGATCATAGCTGGGACGTGTGTGTGTAAAATATTCTGCCTCACCATTATTCTGTGCAATGTGTTTCATTGCTAGTGAGGAATAATATGGGTCAGCAATGCCCACAGATTCTTCTTGAACAGCACCTTGACTTTGAAAGTAACTCTGCGGTTCTCTTGTATCCAAATCCAGCCTATTTTGGTTTATTTTGTAATTTGTTGCCTCTTCGGTGACTTGATAACGATCAAATTCTTGATTAGTTGCTCTAGAAACTCTATTATTCATCTGAGCACCGTTATAATAAAACGCTTGAAGTGATTTAGAATTGTCAGTGAACGATTCCAAATAATTTTCTTCCCTGATGCCGAAGGCACTTTTTGCTATCCATTTCTGACAATTTTGTTGAGTGTCTTTGGAATTATGCACGTACTGATATCGATAGTTATCGGACAGTCCAACCGAGGTAGGCAGTTGATGAGCATCTTGTATGTTTTCTAGATTTCCATATCGATTCTGATCCATTAAATTTTTTTCGTTATTCACACGTTGGTAATACTCTTGAGGATTTGACCAATTCTCCTCGTTTGTGTCTATATCAGAATCAGCAGTCATGGTGTCCGAATTGTCGAGCATTTCGTTCGATGTTGGATAATTCAAGGACCAAACTCGACAGCTACCGAACCCAGGATCTGCAATTTCTCCCAAATTGGCACCAACAGGTGCTTGGAGCATTTTTCTAAGAAGAAACGGTCTCTGTATATTCCCGTTCGAATCATTTGTTGTCTGATATTCAATAGGCTCTTGCACGGTTGGTTGCATGTGATCCGGGAAATTACAATTGCCGTCTGTTACGTTCAGTTTAGAGTGATTTGTATTTAAACCAATTGAATGCAGTCCGACGGGTTCCAGGTTCGTCCCAGGATCTCCCATAGAAGTGTCCATAATTGAAGAATTATTATTCGGATCATAAATTTCATATTGCTGTTCTATTCTGTGCAGCAGAAACTGTCGAAACTCTTCGTACGCCGGCATATCGGCTGAATCATCTTCACGGCTCACGATTTCTTCTTCCGCTCCAACCTATCGATATAATTAATTGCATATCGGATGCGAAAAAGTTAAATCATGCCCTTGCCTATTTACATCACAAACGAATAATTCTCACCCAATGATATGGAAGCTGTTGTTGCAACCTGTTTCGGTCATCTGTATCGATGAATTCAGGACTGTCTATCGGAGTCGAAGTACAATTGATTTTCTCATGCTTCATTTTCCTGGGTCTCTTTTTCCTAGTCTGCTTCAATTCTGCAAGCAGTCTTCCCACTTCCGACCCATCGCCTCTCTCCGCTGCCCGCAAGACTTTTATCAACAAGTCTTTCTGCAAGACATTCATACAATGTCGATGATATAACCAACGAGTATCAAGGTGCGAAGAACCATCGAAGTAAAAATCAGGCATTCCAATGCTTCCTAGCCACACAAATCAACTCTTCGATACATAAAAAAATCCTCAAAGTACACAAACATATATCCCAACCTTTTCTGGGCAGATTCGTAAAAAATTTCACAATAACTGACACGATTAACATTACTTAATCAAACATCCAACGGAGACCAGCGAATCCTTCGACTAATCAGTTACCAAGAAACATTAAAACAATATTCAAAGTGTCCCCTTCCAGGCAACTTTTTCCAAAACTTAATACAATGCATAAGACTCAATAAGCATTAACATATCAATTAATCTCATTATTCTGGCATTCTATCAGCACGCACTAATTACTGCAATCGATCCTTTAGTGAATAAGTCCCAATACGATCACAAGTCCACCTTCGTTTACTTCATTATTTCAAAGCGCCACAGTGATAATACTCATTCAAAACATACGAGTTGCCCGTAATCATCGTCTAAATGACCCAAAACGAGGAATAAACCTTTATTAACCATGAAAAATAAATTCTATCAAAAGTGGAACTCTGACAATTCTAGCGCCGTCCGCTCTTCGCTTCGCCAGCCTTTTTCTTCGGTTGGTAATTCCGCGATTTTCTCGTCGATCGTTCAGATTGTTCAATTACCTTTATATTTCCCGGTACCCGGTATCGCAGAGCTAATGCTTGAAGTTCTTTGTACGACAATCCGGCCACGTCGTTACCATTCATCTTTATTCAGTTTGTCTACCTCATCCGCGTGTACCTCTCGATTAACTCGCGTACCGGAACCTACCTATACCTGTTCGAACTCGTAGCGCAGTTTCGCGCAACAGCGCAATTTCGCGCACCAGGAAAATGGCCGCCCTCGAAATTCCCAACTTCCGTCAAAAATCAGAAACTGCGGGTGAATTCGAAATTTTAAATCGACGTAACGGCCTCGAGGTGATAGATCACGAGGGCTTAACGTTCCTATCGTTTTATTTCTCTTAATGGATTGAAGCGCTTTTAAATAAACGCGGTCGAAAGGGTCAGGTGGAGAGTAATACAAGGGGGTAGAAGAGTCGGGAAGCCGCGTCCTGAAATACATCCTATCATAAATAATACATTTTTAATCAATTTATTCTGTCAGTCGAAAATGGGTTTTAATCGATTTAAAAAAAAAAAAGTGAAACGACTCGCATGAATCTTCTTCGGTTATCGCGATCCACAATAGACATCCCTACATAACCTAACCTCTCCATGGCTTCTCATTCAATTATCAATCAAGAAGGTCGAGAGCTTCCCCCGGCTAATAAATCCCAGCAAATAAATCGAGTCTCTCCGAGGCGTTACGAAACGACTCGAAAACCAATAATCCCTCACAGTTGGAAGCCCTCCCTTTTATCTCGCGTTTTCTCTCCTTGTCGTCCTTTTCTCTTGGTATATAAAAGTGAGCTTGCGCGCCCCATCGAGCATCTCACATTTTCGCAAAACCCACCCTCCCTTGCCTCTTCCTAACTCATTAAAAATCGTCAATCTTCCCTGACTAAACCAATTAAACGAAATCCCCCCAGGCGGTTCATAAAACACCTTCGAAATCAATCCTACATCTCAATTGAAAGCTCTCCCTCTCTCTCTCTCTGCGCGTGTCGCGTCGCGCATCCTGCGCGGCTACAAAACCCTGGGATGGGTAAACCTAACCTATCCCCCATGAGTTCATTGAAAAATCATTGAAAAATGTGTCGAGTCTAAATCGTTTGAGCCATAGAAAAAGTTCCACCCCAGCCGAAAGCCCAGTTGGAGGAGCTCCTCTCTGGGGGGTATTGCGGGGTATTGGGGGGTATGGGGGGGTATTGAGCTTGCGCGTTCCGCAAGAGGCGCCCCGTGCTTTCGCCTGCGTATCGGCCGAGCCAGTGCGTCAACAGGAGCCAATCTCGACGTCCTCTCGCGGCGGATCGACTACCGGTCGCAGCTCGAATCGAGTCTCGAACCTTCCGGCCGCCATCTTGGTTTCGGGACCCCTCGGAGGCCCCTCGAGTCGATCCGCTCTCGCCCGGGGCCCGTTAAATCCGATTTTAATATATTGATCTATCGCCGCCGCCTACACCAACGCCGCGGACTATGAAAGCACGTAAGAGCCGGGACAAAAGTAAGTCTGCACACGCACGTACCTACACGCGTGCCTTACACACGCACACACGACTGTGGTACCGCTCGAGTTCCCGCTCGATTGCGAGTTCTCGGGGAATCCGAAAGAATCGGACCCCATTCGCGGACTTTATGCCCAATCCATGGCGTCTCTCGGTAATACGGTCCCCCATGTATTTCCGTGTCCCTATATGTTTCTATTTTATTTTTAGTTAATGGTTTTAAACCCCCATCAATGTGGGCGCCTGTGTGGAGAGATTTTCGAACGTTCTCGACGGGAGCTGGTTGTTGAGAATATTTTTATTCGCTTAACGAAGAGGACAATGTCATTCCTGATTATTATGTGATATTATTTATGAGTTTTAACATTTTTAATTTATTATCGTAAAATTGTTATTAGTGGGAATATTTATATAGACAAGAACAATGCCCTTTTTTAGTGCCACTAATCGGCAGAATCGCTAGCGAGGGATGTTTTGCCGGAAACCGCCCGAAGAGCAGATCTCAAATAATTATCCCCGCTTTCAAGATTATCGTTAAACCTCCCGAAAACCGTACCCGACGTTTACCCCTGTACGGAGAAAAATGCCTCCTAATTGCCGGAAGAAAGTCGAGGATAATGGAGTCAAGCTGGAATAATGAAAAACCGGAGAACGAGGAGAGGGCCTCTCCTTAAAGGATGTTTTTCTCCGTATAGAGGACCTCTACTTGGCGCAATTGTTCCCTAAGTACACAGGAGACCTCTTCTCGAAGCGATGAATGCCACTTGTCGACACAATTACTCCCTCAAGACACTTGTTGTCTAGATCCTCTCATCGGCGAGCCAAATTCCACCCCTTTTGCCACTTTCACCCATGAATGGACTGAATGGACTGATAAGGACTGATATGGACTGATATGTCGATCTTGCACCGACTTTTCGAAGGCTATCCGGAACTCTACCCTATAATTTCGGCAAGAGAAACCCCGTAAAGTGCGTAGCGACCCCCGTAAACAAGAACGCTGTCCGTTATCAGTAATGCTCTTATCAGTAATTTTGCATCCCTAGAAGAAAAGCCGAAATCCAGCCTCAGCTTTGGTAATCTTGAGATCTGCATCCCCTAGACCCTCTTCGCTTTTTTCTTCCCTGTCGCCCTGTAGAGTGGAACTTCTAAGCGACAAGTCTATTCCTATTTGAGCCTGGCTCGAAAATGTTTGAGGTAGAAGGAAGAATGTCCCCTGGGAATGCTGAAACGTTCACTCTGAATTTCTTTAAACCATAGGAACTCCCCTTTGCCGAAGAGAAATCTGGCCCTCGAAGCTCTGCATCTTGTACCGATTCTCAATCATACGTATGATCTTAATTACGGAAAAATGAATTACGGCGGAGATGTTCATCCTCGTTTCCGCGTACTTTACCCTGAGGAAAAGGGAGATTCATCGAGCCACGGAAATATTTCCTTGATTCCAAGAGAAATTATTATACATATTGTTCTTTGAATTAACTTGTATGTTTCTTCGGCACTGTTCAAAGGAATACTTCCTCGGTTGAATTTTTTCCTCAGGGTAGAAGGCTTCCCGTAACGTAATCTCTCTCTGTCTCTATTTTCCGCGGTTGAAGAAACTCTGTCCTCGATCTTGCACCCTGTTTGTATGCGAAATCCAGTAATGATATCACTGCATCAATGAGTATCTTAAGAATTTTGCGCAGGCTCTTCTACCACGTTTATCACCGCGCGCATGGCTCTAGATAATTCCCAGAGCCTTATCACGTGGCGGTTAATTTTTCTCCGCGGCTGTAGGTTGTCTAGGAACGTTGTAAAAATGTGTGGAAAAATGTACAAGGGCCTGGACAAAATTATAGCCTTAGATTGTTTCCAGTCAATGGCACTGCTACCTCCCCAAGCACTCGAAGTAGACCTCGCTCTCGAGGGCGAGGGAACTCCTCTTGCATCGTTGAACATCTTGTACCTTGCACTTGTCGCCTCTTCGTAAGTAGAACGAAGCCTACGAAAGCAAGCAAAAGACGTGGTCAAATTTGGGAAATGCCGTTACGAGGAGAGAATCTCGAACGAGACGTGCAGTCTTGGGTGGTAAGGCGCCTTGACTCTTCCAGAGGGCGAACTTGAAGAACTCGGGGGCGTTTTAGGAGGTTCTGGGGGTGCTTTGGCATTGGCAGGAAGGCACAAACCCGAGGAACTGGCCACTTTGGCTGCCAACACGAGGTTCACCAGGAAGGAGATCCAGCTGATTTACAGGGGCTTCAAACAGGAGTGCCCCACAGGACTCGTCGACGAGGAGGCCTTCAAGCAGATCTTCTCGCAATTCTTCCCTCAGGGTGGTGAGTTTCCCGCCCTCAAAAGAATTCCCTCTCCACAGAAGGACTCATTTTGTGTCTACTTCAGATGCCAGCCAGTACGCACATTACGTCTTCAACACCATCAAGCGAAAATCCTCAGGGAAAATCAGCTTCGAGGTGAGATAAGCAGTTAGCTGGATTTATGAACAGAAATGAGAAGAAATTTCATGCTTAGTCCCTTGAATTTAATTCCACATGGTCGTGGACATTTTCAGGAATTCCTGACTATACTGTCGAAGGTGTCCAGGGGATCGGTGGAGGAGAAGCTGCAGTGGGTCTTCGGCTTGTACGACCTCGACGGGGATGGCTTGATAAGCAAAGAAGAGATGTTGGATGTCGTGGGGTCCATCTACGAGATGCTGGGTCGATATACTCAGCCCCAAATCGCGGAGCCCCACGTCGCAGCTCGCGAACACGTGGATCGTATCTTTCACGTGAGATTTTCATTATAAAAAAAATGTTTAACACCTTCGTCAAGACGTTGTAAAAAATGCCTCATCTATCTGGCGTGTCTTTTCTACCTTTTCAGCTGATGGACGCCAACAAGGACGGCGTGGTAACGATCGAGGAGCTGGTTCAATGGTGCTCGAAAGACGAACAGCTTCTAAAGAGCCTCGACACTCTGGACACGGTCTTGTGAGGGCTTTTAGATGTGACGTGAAAAATCCTGCACAGCAAAATCAGTTAAGAGCATTTAACCCATCCATCTACGAGCGGTTTGCAATTTTTTATCGAATTAACCGAGGGAATTCATTCGCTTAGCCCTCCTCAAGATTCGCCGTTCATCGTCGCCGTCTGGGAAACGTGTTAACGGGGGATTTTATTTTATTTTATTTTTTCTTCTCATCCTTCACTCCCGAAAAATGGTACATCGGCTTGGCAGGTCTCCTTTGGTATGTCTAAATGCTTCACCTGGAATTAATCCTGTCTGGCGGTAGTTTGAAATTAATCGTAAACTGTGTACGGCCCCTTTTGCAAAGAGTCGCCCACGCTAAGTGGCAATTTCCCGACCTTCCTAACTCTGGCGTTTAACTCTTCTGTAAATATCGATGTATTTTACCTACCCAGTCTTTCAGACGCGACAAGGGATCGCGCGATCTCCAGTATTAATAATTCTAAGACTTTCAGTCCGAGGAGTTGAGATAAAAAGAAGCAGGAACCGTGCCGAGGAGGTTCCGACTCTAAGTCGGCTCTGTTCTTGGGATTTCTCAAATTCTCGATTTTATCGAGCTCTTCCACTGTGACTTTTGCCGTTTTACTGTTTTTCTCTGCTCTCGGGGAGAACTATATACCGTTCCCAACTATTTCTCGCCTTTTAATCAGGGACGTCCGAGTGCCAATACAATTTCAAAGGTGGACGCGATTCTCCGATGGGAATGGGAATTTACTTGCATAGGGTATCATTTCAAGTTCTGGACCGAGAGGTGGGTTTGAAAATTCTTCCGACATATTCCGAGTTTTCGAACGCGCTAAGGATCTCTTTATATATAAATATACTTGTAGAGATTGACCTGAAGAATCGGTACAAATTACGGAGGGTCGCGTTTTCTCCTGTGATTATCCTGTACCTTGAAGTATTATACTCTTTAGGTAGTGACGCCGTCAGGGTCATTAATATTATTACCTAATTACATTCTTACATGGTATTGCAACCTCTATTACTGTTAAACCGCGTGTAGGTTTATCTGCGTACTTACATTGTGACAACGTACGGATTGTAAAGAAATCCAGTAGATTATTGTACAATTCTGTTAAGAATTCCTTTCACATCTAGTATTACAATTATTAAGTGCGCACTGAGAGTAATTTCGGATATGCCCTGTTTTTTAATCTCATTAATGTAAATGTGTACATACTATATTTATTTATTCGAGGTGTAGATTTGGTTCATTCGATTATAAAAAAGGACTTTTTCATTGAAATTACCTTCCTCTCGGTGTGTACTTTAGTATTATATTTCGTAGGTCGTTATTTTTTTTTTTACCGAAATCCTGCCGCTTGTTCTGGTTTTATTAACGAGTCCTTATCAACGCAAATAATCCTTACGTTGGGCCAATTTTAAGACATTAAGTATGTAGTATTTTAGCGTATATGGTTACATACGCGTCGACAGTCTATGTACGATAAGATTGTATTCCAAATCGAGGAATTTTATGTATGTTGGATTAACGCGCGAAAGGACGTATATAAAAAGTGTTTTATCGGAATTAAACAGTATTACCGGAGAAGGGTTAGGAATAAGGTTTTCCATGGGTTAAGAAATATATATTACCACGTTTCCCTGATTAAGGATAACAAAAGTCTATCAAATCGTGTATTAAACCGAAGACACTCTGCTGTGCATGCGAACCTTGTTATGCTTTCATTTCAGCGGATGAAAGTAAAATGTCATTACATGAATAAATCGTGAAACGGTATATAACTTGGGCCGGGAGTTTGGTTATTAAGATTCCGAATACCAGTCGTTAATAATTATTAGTTATATTAAATATAATGCAGGGAAAGGTGAATTAGGTAGTGAGAATATTCGTGGATTTTAAATATGGCGCTTTGCCGATGAGTCCGAGTCGAGGAGGCTTAAAAAGAGGACAACTACGATGGCCTTCCGTTCTTTCGAACTTGAGTGATAATAACTAAGCTGTGATATATTTTATGCATTTTTCCCTTAACGGTACTAGTGGGTACGAGGCATTCTTGACCGCCGATATATATACCGACTTCTGATATACTATAATATTCCTGATTTTTGAAATGCACAAGTCGCCCGCATTCTCCACCGAGGGCAGCACAGATCACGATCGCGCGACTGCCTGTAAGCAATCTTCCAATTCATATGATTCATATCTGCGATTCCTTTGATCAAGTTACTGGCGGTAAGTGAGGTTATATTTGGAGTTATCTCGTCTATAACTTAACAAGCACATTCTGCCGTTCGTGGTAGCGCAATTTTATAATTAATTAATCTACAGGAAACAACGAAGAAAGAGTTTCAATCGTTTGAGGAAAAAGGAAGCCCAGTTAAAAATGAAATGGATCACCGACATGATGCGTACTTTGACTCGAACTCATCTACCGATAGTTATTCCAGCAAGATTTCGACATTATACCGCTGAACGTCCATACATAAGGCGCCACGGTTATGTAGATCCTGTCGAGAGAAGAGGTCTTCTGGCACACCAGGGTACTCGTAGAGTTGAAGAAATGCCAGTATACCGCCCAAAGGATTGCTGGAATTCAAAACGAGCACTCTTTGGACAGAACGATTACATCGACATCCTGGGAAATGATAATCTTCACCCCACAAAAATATTGTATAACGTACCTTCATGGCTAAGAGGAGTTAGCGGCAACGAGTATCAGGTCCTCTTAAGGAAAAGGAAAATCTGGAGCAAGGGAATATTCCCAATTGCGAGGCCCACCAAATGGAGGCAGCTGGAAAAACGAATCGCTTACTTGTATCGTTACCTGAACCAGAAAACGAAGACAGGAATGTCCCCGTTTCGATGAAATAACTATTAAATACTGTACAGAGTAGACATAAATAAATCATCCCTTTTGTAGGTAACGTCGAAACTATCACTTCCGACTGGCCAATGTTGTGAACTCCTACAACTGTCATAATCAATGCTATTTAAAATAGTAAACTTATTTATTGATGGACGATAACTAGCGAACAGACATACAACGCAATTTTACAATGACGAGTCTCAAAGTATTCGTAGTATTACACGAATACCAATTTCTGTAATTATAAAAATGTAATGAACGGGAGTATACACATGGGTTCACATATGACCATGCTAAGAAAGGGTGAATTTAATGAGGCCACGCGTACTTCGACACAGAATGAATAAGTACGTCAGGACTGGAAAGGCTATAACAAACCTTTGCAATTAATCAGGAGTCTCAGAAAAAACATACATTAAAAATATAAATGCGTACCAGTTATACTGTTTCATATGCAACTTCGTTACAGCTTTGGTTGTAAACCAAAACTGGAATCGTTGAACATTTCTGCACTTATGAAATTTATCGCAACAATCTTGTAATAGGGTCATCGCTGTTACAGTGTCGAGGGGGTCGATAATTATGCACATGTCAAATGGGATGCTTTACATATTCATACAGTGGGCGATATATATACATACATATAAATGTGTATAACTGCCAATATGTACATACCTACACATATCTGTAAACAGAAAGGAAGATAAATCTCCTTCAATTTAATATCGATAATAAAAAAAGAAATTCTAATAACGTTCGAAATGCACATATATATATATCAAACAAATATAGTATATTTAAAAGTTTCTTAACATGTAATAAACGACCGATCCCCCAGTGGAGTTTCGATGAACAATCCTTGCCCTGATTTAAGAAAGCAATGCCAGCAATCGGTATGAATTTCTGCAACCTTTAAGGAAAATTGTTATTACCGTTTCGGAGAGTACAAAGTAGCAGTCGACTCCCAGCAATTAACATGTATAAACTGTAGGGTTGGCTAAATTATCGATAGTCTATAAATACTTATCGATAGCCATGGTGATACATAAAAAACAATCCGTGTGTAAAAATACTGTCGATTCACTTGTTATTAATATATTCTATTTTTTACATGTTTTTTACATGTCGATAATAGCTTGCGTGTTAATGTGTGAGTTTCGTGTCATTAATTACATATTTAACGTGGTACTTTCGCCATCGATAAAATATTTCCTGCGATATAGAAAGGAGAACTATCGATGTCTAGCCAACACTAGTGAAAAGCAGACCTGAATAATTGATATTGTCAATCGCGATGAGCGTGGACACGTATCAACGTTTAAATTATATTTACATATCCTAATGGCAGTCGTTTGCATCGTTGGGGTCCATAGAGATGATCTCATCGAAGATCCTTAGTCTGCCTGTCGAAGGCAGCAAGCGAATTCATAAATGATTCTGCAAGAAGGACAATAGAGTGGTCTCGTAATGTTTACTGGCATCCAGATTTCTAAGGCTATGCCGCTCGTCAGGATAGACTTGAAGCTGATAAGGCTTCCCGATCTTAACGAGAGCATTTATCAGCTGGCTCGTGTGGAAAAAGTGCACGTTCTCATCTATGAGGCCATGGATTATAAGCAGTCGGTTCTCCTCGTCGGGGAAATTATTAACATAAGTTAAGACCGAGCCATCTTCATATCCCTCAGGATTATTCTGTGGTAGATCCATATAACGTTCGGTGTATCCTGTGTCGTACAAGTTCCAGGAAGTAACGGGTGCCCCAGCTATCGCCAACTGTAAGTTGCATATATATCACAATTTTCTCTATATCTTCGAAGTAAAAAAAATTATAAAAGTTTTCACTAGAGAATAATACTAACCTTAAACACATCAGGATAATGTACCAAGCCCATCAGAGTCAAATACCCTCCGTACGACCATCCATGGAGAGCAACTCTCGATGTGTCTATATAGCCCGTCGTGTCTGCAAGCCATTTCAGAACCTCAACTTGATCATTCAGTTCGACGGTTCCCATTCTCTTCTGCAAATAGCTCTCAAACGTTAAACCTCTGTGATGAGAACCACGAGAGTCGATGAGAACAACGCAGTATCCCTGGGCAGCGAGCATATGCATTCTCAAATGTCTCATACCCTGAAACGATAAAACCTTATTAAACCCATTCCGAAGAATGTAAAGAACAATCTTTCGCATTTTTTTTCAAATAAATAGCCTTTAAAGGGGAGAAGTTAAAAATAAATATGAGAGTTCTAACCTTAAATGTATTAGTCACGAGCTGCACTTCAGGACCACCGTAGACGTTCAATATCGTGGGATACTTCGTTCCTGGTTGGAACTTGTGGGGCTTAAAAATCATTGAATATATTGTATCACCAGACGCTATTTTGTGCGCATACATCTCTGGAGCGAATATTTCCGATTCGGGAAGTGAAGGCTCTGACAAGTAACCGACAGGTGTCAATACAATGCTTTCAACCGTCCAGTCGGTCTGCGATATTCTGAATACCTGACGTTAGAAATTAAATTTCAAGGTTAAAAGTCGTGACAGAATTTTTCGCATTTAAGAAAAAATAAAATCTTGGTAATTCCTTATTTTTGACAACGTTAACTGTAAGACATGTGTACATACCTGACAAGTAGGTAACATTTTAATAGAACTATATACGGTGACGAGCATTGTACACTCCTTGTTAAAATATATGTTATTGTAGCTGTATCCAGGTCTTGTCAGCAGCCTAATTTCCAAAGGACGACGCAAGGATACAGCGTAGATGTGTTGCTCCAATGGACCTTCCCTCAAACCAGCGAAATATACAATTGAATTAGCTTCATCGACCCACAGCTTTTTCCCAAAAACTTCCCACTCGCCCTGCGTTAGGGCAAGTCTCGAAGTAATACGCGGCTGTAGGTAAACATTATCCATTCGATCCAGCGGCTCCTCCACGCCATTACTCAAACCTACAATTTTGTAAAATATATTCGTTGCTAACCTATCTATAAACATAGTATACAAATTAAATTCCATCATAAATACAAACCAGCTATGCTGGATGTAACAAGATACAGGTGTCTGAAATCAGTCTCCTCGCTTCCCCAGAGGAACTTCACTTCCATCGGGTCATCGGATGGGAGGAAATGCAGCAGATCGTTTACACTGATCCAGATAGAGCTTTGCTCCGAATAGATCACTTGAACACTAGCCGATGAAGGTGCAAAATGATTATCGGAGTTGTACACATTAGGAGGTGGCTCGCAGAAGTTATCTATCGAGAGCAGAACCAATTCCAGCCTTTGTTGCTTTCTGTCCAGCAACTGAACCCAGATACTGTAATATTTTAATGCAAAAACGGTGTTAAATTGCACAAGTTAATTTGTATCGTGTTCACCAAACATTTAGACTTACTATTGGGCATCGGGAGTCCAACCCACTCTGACCATGTATTCCATCCAAGGGAACATGACGTGCAATGGATATTGCAGTTCCAGAATCTCAATGTCAACGAACTGTAAAGTATCTGACAGGCGAAACTGTACCATTTTGAGATTACTTTTCGCGTTCGAGGTCCCGGCCCTCGGGTACCTGAATTCATCGATTTCTTCAGAATTCGATGTGAACGACGGGAAACAGAATATTTTAACATCAGTCTCATCGACCTCTTCGTAGACTATTCTGTAGATTCCATTGTCGGACTTTGGTTGCCACCAATAGCCGATGTACCTAATTTATAATTAGCAAAATATATTTGCAACCCTTCCGATGGTTTAAACTCCAATTAATTTCTAGAAGTATTTTTACTGACCTCATAAACTCTTCTTGCATAACATATGAAGGTGTGCCTGCGGTAAGAGGGTCTTCGTCCAGATTCCTGCCACCTTTTCTAGCTCGTGTCAGTCTAACGGATGATCCTGCGATACTGTGCGATACATGTAGATCGCCAGAGCAGGTGTGAGCCACCAGGGCATCATTCCATGGGCATATTTGTGGACATAATTTAGCTCCAGTAGTAGACATTCTCAGTTCTGATGGAAAGAGTGGACCTGGCTAGAAGTAAAGTTCACGATAAATTATTTTATCGGAATGGCAATATTGTTTCAAGCTGTTAATGAACTGCATTGTCCATTTACCATAAAACCGTTGTCTATACATTGATACAAACTACTTGCTGCTGGAAAGACTAATCTACCGCTCTCAGCATGTAACTCGTAGCTTGTAATTCCCCATGTAGATAGCCTTTTCCTCTCCCATAATAGCTGTTCCTCTCTGGAGGAACGATTTGCACACATCACACTGGAAAAAAAACATTTCACTCTGATTTGAAAGCGAGTGACTTACTCACAGTATCGCACCATCTTTTTTTTCCTCTACCTTTGAAAGTTTGGCTCGATAACTGGTTGCCAATGCAGCCTGTAGCCATTAGCGTGATCAGAATGAGCTATGTCGACATACAGTAAAGAAGTTTCCCATCCATTATTTGGGGTGCTCAGAAAATATATTCTTGTCCTAAAATCAGGGTCTAGCAGAATATCTTTTCAATCGACTAAACATGGCTATAGGAACCTTTATCTTACCGTCCATCCGGTAGGGACCGAAACGTAATGGAGCTAGGTACAGAGCCAACCGATACTCCGGACAGTTTTCTTCGCAGTTCGCTTACGATGCCTCTCAGTTCTTGCCACGATTTCTTCTTCTGATCACAAGACGTGGAGCAGTTAGGTTCCGGCACCTGGTCACCGCCTTCGTTACAGTGCTCCATGATCCTAATGTATCCGACGACTAGGTTAGGTCATTCACGGAAACTGCACCCAATCTCCTCCAGCATGCAAGTTGATTTCTTAAAACCCTCCTCGATCTCCCTATCCAATATCACAAATCCCCTGAAATCGAGTCATCGCATTAATCCCTCGAAAACTCCTCGCTAGCCAATTTCAACCTCACCAGATTTTATCACAATATCACTGCTCCGCTCGCCGTCGGATCATCCTCTGGGAAACCTCTGCTTCGCTGCAGCGGAAACTAGTTTACCACCTGACGCCCTGCCTCATTCCACACTCAGATTCCTCCAGCAACCAGCCCAGCGGTGTACGTATAACAAATCGCTCTAAAATCACATGCTTCCTCAGTGTCGAGAATTCCAGCCTGGGGCAGCGAAACGGAATACAAATTTCAGACCCTCGCACGATGTTATATCCAAACATACAAGGGCCACCTACATAGAGACCAACAATAGTCGATTCCTCTCTTCTTCCCTAAAAGAGACGCACTCTCCTTATTGTTTGGCGCTAGTCAATGAGTACAATGGTCGTCTGACAGAGCTCAAACCGGACAGGGAGGTTATGTCGCGCGTCTCGCCCTCCCTGCAACTTCTACCAGCAGTTCCCGCCTCGAATCTCAGATTTCCACCTAAAATCATACAATTTCACGCTTAATTCCACTGTTAAACGTCGCCCTCCATTCGTCGCGGTCGTGCTTTGAGGTTAGGTTGGCCCCGGAGTTACGTCTCGGCCGCGTCCGGCGTACCTCGAAAACGAGGTCGACTTCGCGACTTCGCAGCGCCTTTCTCTGTCCTTTTTCAGCTCGAGGCCGAGTTTTAGGTTATGTTTGGTCCTTGGACTCGCTTCTGGCTCTTTCTTTCACTTTCTTTCCGCAGACGACCGCCTCTTCCGCTGAGTTGACTGAACCGGCTACGCTCGGCCGAACCACGAACGCATGCTCGGTGCTCGGATAACCTCCAAATTTCTTCGAGCAAACCTGAATACACCTGCTTCGACTAGACCTGACCCCTCCCAACTGCTCCTATTCTTGGCGGCCTATATCGACGACCCGTTCCGTTTCCGCCCTCGGTGCTTTAATTATACCTCCCTTGGCGCTTCGGAATCTGTTTCCTCCTACGCGAATCACGCTCACCCACGATGTCTCGCGCCAACTGTCAAATAGCGATCCGACACCTCGATTTTCTCCTTTTTGACGCAACAGCTGCGCACATTGGATGACCACGAGTCAACGAGCTGTCAATATGGCGTGCCACGTGCGCGTGACCGTCAGCTGTCATGCCGAACAAATTTTTTTTTTTTTCAGGGATACGTTATCTCACATTTTCCTAGGTATTTAATTATTACGCATTTCACGTTTATCCATAATGTCACTGTATTAACTATGACAAACCGTTACCTTATTGTTAACAAAAAATTTTTTTTCAGAGATACATATTGTTTTTTATTTTTCTAGGTATTTTATTATCACGCAATTCACGTTTATCCACAGTGCCATGCATCGTTATCTCCCTGTCATTTAAAATTCTTTTTATTTTAGGGATACTTACACTTCTAGGTATTTAATTATTACGTATTTTATATTTCTCAATGAGCGATCCGTCACTTCGTTGTCATCCAAAAATTATTATTCTTCTCTAGGTATTCTTATACTATTCAAAACCTGCCTTGGAATTTCGGACACAAAATTGTCGACGGTTATTCACGTGGATTAATAATCCGTCAATATCGACGAGTTTGTTAAATATGTCTTTTTGGTGCTATTGAATTCCTGGTGATTTAATTCGGCTCGTTATCAGGGATGAAGGCCTGGGATAAATTCCCCAAGTGGAACTATTTTAATCACCACTCTCAATAACTCCAGGTAACTCCGGGGGGGAGATTTTATTACCCCCCGCGAACATTGTACACCGAGTAATCCCGAGTACGCAGCCTTGTAATCTCTCCCGAAGGCCGGCGGACAAAAATGCGGCAATTTTGTCAATTTATGGCCGCATTAATTATTCCACGCCCTTCAAGGATACATTATTTACACACATGGCCCTGCCCTGACTTTGCAACTAAGAATGACAGCGTTCCCTGTCTCTTTTTTTACCGGTCGGAAAATTTATCACGCATAATTTTTCAAGATAAAATTCCGGGAATTTTTATTTCCTTATATTTTGCTATCATATTTTGTAATATTTTTTCCAAGTCGAAGGGGATTTCTATTTAATCAGGGATGACGTTCCCTATTTTCCTTCATCACCTGCAAAATTGATCATCCCCAATTTTCCCCGATTTGATTAATGGCAAAAATCAGAATGACTATTTTTAAACATTCTTAAATAGGCGCAGAAAATTATTTAACAGTATTTCCCCTGTCGATGTGAATTTCCGAGTGCTCGGTCAAGATCCCCCCGAGAGCCGCGGGTTTTTATTTCGTCACTAATTGGGGTCTCGAAAATGGTTGACAAAACGGCGAGAAAGCTAGAGAAAGCCTCGGGGATTTTTTTTTCTTTTTTTTGGAAAAGGGGAGATTTTATTCCCCCTCCTCGTATTGTGGGGCGGATCAACGAGGTCCCCGCAATCTCTTCCGGGAGGTTCTCTCGACTGAAAAAGGCCGGTAATTTTGGAAATTTACAGCCGCATTAATTACGCCGCTCCCTCGTGTACCTGTACGTGTGTACTCACCCCTTGGCTTCGTGAAATTGTATAACAGAAGAGGGGTGTGCTTGACAAACGAGCAGCTCGCGACCCTTGACGACACGCGCGAGTAAAAAAAACCAGCTCCCCAGTTTTCCACGTGGGATTTTCCAAACTCCTCTCGCACCCCTGCACCTCTACCTCGGAGGTAATTCGGTCATTTTTGGAACCCCTTTCGACTAATTAACCACCTGGCCATTTCTTAGTCCCCCCGTAATTCCTGATCTCGATATTTCTCTGCGAATTTCCCGGCCTGTTGGAAAAATTTCTTCAAATATTCATATTTATTATCTCGCCTTTCATATGTAATTATTTCATTCCTACACCTGTACCTGTGAGGTAATTCGATCATTTTTTAAACCCCTTTCGACTAATTAACCACCTGGTCATTTCTTACCCCCCTCATAATTCTTCGTTTCCATATTACCTTGCGAAGAGCCACAACAATATATTGCAAAATGAGATTGGTTGATTAGAAAAATTTAGTTAAAAATCGATTTAAAATACGCATAATTAATACACGACTTACGGTGGACATTGAAAATGTCTTGGGAATTTTTTTGACAAACGTGGAGGGTGCAGAATCAACTCGTGAATTAAATTTATATTAATTGCATGGTATATTAGAAATAAAAAAAAATCATTCCAGAGTTCCATAACAATGGCCGAGAACAGCAACAAGTGTCCCTATCCGACCAAGCCGGTGAAGTTTGACTGGTCCGTCTTGAAGTCCCGAATTTTCACCATCAACTGCCTGAAGAAAAACTGGGAGGTGAGTCGATGGCTTTTCTATTTTTCCCTGGCCGGAAGTGCGATCTCTCGGAAAATGCACAGTCCAGTCCTCGAAGGATCCTCGGAAACCCTCTAGAAGAACTCGAGAGCTCATTTGCATGCCAAAGGCGAATCTCGTTCGAACCTCGGCCTCTCGAGGCCTTTTTCCCCGATTGTTTTTTTTTTCTTTTAAACCCTTTACCCTCTGGAAAAAGAAATATTCAAAAGGAAGGAGGCATCAGCCTTGTTTCGTGGCCGGAAAGAGGCAATTTCCCTCCTTTCCTCCGCTCTTTGATTCCTCGTCCTGGAAACGTGGAAAGAAGCTTCCGGGAAAATCCAGGAAATAATCTCGGAAGGGGGATAATTATATTCCATTGAAATTAAATACTTTAGGGGAGAAATAATAGGCTAGGAAATACTTACCTTTCTCTTCGCGTATCTACTTAAATTGTTACTATTTAATGTTTACTTCCCGATGGTGGAAAATCTTCACAGCCTTGGACTCGGTGTGATCTTCGTCGACGACTGCTCTATATTAAATTGACATTTTGCGGGAATCAATGTTATAATAAATTACCTGTGGATTAATATGACGAAAAAAAAATAGATATATATATATTTAACCTTCGGTGATTTGCCAGTAATTATTTACGCTGAAAATAATTCCATCGTTCCATTTCGCTCCTCCACGTCGGACATGACTTCTCAATAAATTTTCCAGTAATTATCATTAATTATTTATAATTATTTTGGGATTATTTATAATTTGATTGATTTGAGCTGTTCTTCGTGTCGGTCGATTTTTTTTTTTTTTTTCGGGGGGGACGGGGAAGGGCTAAAAATCGGATCGGGTGGCTGATAGAGAAGACTGATCGCGGACTAGAAGTAACTTTAATGTCTTCAACAACAACAGGTACAATACCAGTTTACCTGCGGTAAAATACGGTGTGTTTTCGTTTTTAGCTCGCTCACTCTAAATCGTTTGCCGGGGTGCTCTCGTCCAAGATTCTCTCGCACCAGGCCCCCCTTTTCCCTTTTCAGGATTAATATTATTTCCCTTACAGCGGTCTACGGTCGTTAAAGTACTATCTACGTACTCTCGCTACGTAATTTCGTACTACTTCGGCTGCCTAACTAACTAGCTAACTAGCTGAACTCACTGCAGAACTCGCGACGTCCTTTTTACGGCCGACGAATATTTCTCCGTGAAGAGATTTTCTCAACCTTATGTTCCAATGTACATCGTGCATTTCGTGCTAAGGAAACGAAACGTCCTATTGCGTTATTACCTCTAATCGTAGACAGGAGGATGGAAGAAAACGGGTGAGAAAGACTAACAGGCGAGTCTGGGGAACGGAAGATTGACAACAAAAAATTAATAAATAAAAAAACAGAGAGAAGAAATTCGGAAAAGATTCACGCGAAGGGAGAATAAAAATGGCTCCTCGACCCAACACGTCCTGTCCGACTAATTATTGTCCTTGTTTACCATTACTTAATTCCTCCCTAAATTCCCGAGGGAATTTTTCAACCCTCCAAGGATTAACTTTTGCAAAGAGACAATGAATATCGTTCATTGGTAGTTAATCAGTCGTTCATTTATACGCGGATCATATCATTGATATCGATTTTATTTAAACAATTCATGGTCGTGATAATTGACGACGATTAAAGGCGATGAAAGCTCCCTGGAAAGATTACAAATTCGTCCGGGAATTTATGGAGGATTATTTATTCATTATTTCTAAGTGACTTTAAGGTGAGCCTCGATCGAATTTAGGGAGGCTGAGTCGCCTTTTTTTTCTTTTTTTTTATATTCCTCTTAAATATAGTTTTTGATATCGTTTAGGCCTTGGCGTCTCAGACTCGATCTTGAGATACACTTTTGTACTTTTCTTCATTGATATACGCTTTGCATTGCGTAGAATTTACGTATTATAAATGCTCACGAGATCCCTACACTTCTAAAAATCTCTAAAATGTATAAACAAAGTGTTATAAAATTGGAGCAAAGAGACGTCATCGTGGAAATTGCTCGTGCAATTGTAACTACTTTTTCTTTCGTTACGGAAAGTACCAAAATAACTCGCAAATGAGTACTTTATCCTTCGGCAATAACAATAAAAAAATGAATGAATAAAAATTATGAAGTTTAGAAGTCGAAGGCGATAAAAAGAAATTCCATTTGGAGTACAATCAAGTACACTTATCCTCTGGCACTCGATTGGGCACTTTTTAGAGATACGTCTTTGAAGATACAGTTTCCCCCGAAACCCCTTTATCTCGCAGGATGCAAAGATGCATCGATTATCGATAAACTGCCGCCCTCGATTATTTATCCAGCACCAAGTTTGGCTTCTATGCGGCCAGAACGTGCGCGGAGGGTCGAGAAACCAATGTAAAAATTATTTTAAAATTATTTAAACATTGTCAGAAATTGTCAACAGTCTCCCTCCGCGTTAGGGACGAGGAAATCGATCGATCAGACATCGGGGCCCCAGACGATCGATCGGGATCGATTCCGTCCGCCCTCGATCTCCGTAAAGAATCGCCGATTGCGCATAAAGGCTCATTGAAATGCACTTAATTATCCCCTGAACTTTCCCTTAATATTTCGGTACACGGTAAGGATATGTCAAGTGTAAATTCCCCTTTCAACGTGAGGAAAAAAAAAAAGGCATCCCGAGTCGAAGTCATCGATCTCA